GAATTTAGAAAGAAATAAAATTTAATTTTAAATTTACACTTCTCTCTTTTACTAGTGTTTAATATTCAAATTACATCATTCTTCAATCACAGTCATTCACTAACTGCTATAACATACATTTAACTCTCTCAAAAAGATATTATGCTACCAAACTAGATCATAACAATCATCACCTTATATTTTTTATGGCATCCCTTTACATGCACAGAGCCACTAAATATCTAACATCATGCAGATCATCTAAAAATGAACTGATTCATAACAAACTGAAAAAACCCAGCAACCAAATCCATAACAAGTGTAAACATGAATAGGGAAAACCATAAGAGTTGTTTACTTAAATATGTAAATGAGAAAATCAACCGTGCACCAAGATTCCTTTTAAAATTAACTTAATACTGATTTGACTTATTAAAATAAAACAACAACAAAATAATAACTGCTTCCAATCTCTTCAATTGCTCTTATTTGTACGTAATTTCAAGATAATACTAAAATTATGAATTTTATACCAAATTCACTGCAGTGATTTTTTCTCAATCTGTATGATATAAAGAATGTGCAGCAATCGTTCAACGTTACTTCATAATTATTTGTCAAATATTCTTTTTAGGGTGTGTCTGAGATCAGTTCGTATTGTTTAGAAAATTTTAAGTACGTTCAGAAATTATTAATAGAGCGAGTTCCGTTTTTTCGGCATTTAAGCTTCGTGCAATTAGTGGATAATATTAGTGGATAAAAGCTCGCAATTAGTGGGATAAATTAGTGGTTGAACAAAGCTTTATTCGTTTTGATTGTGCTTTAATAGCAGTTTTTCCAGCTACATCGTACCAATAATGAAAATACATTTATGGAAACAATTAAGAGCTATATCATATGCTCTTTAATACCCTATAAGTTCAGAATTTATTTGGCCGAATTAAAATAGATAAAAGGTTAAAACAATTTAAAAATTAACAGAATATTAATAACCAAAATAATAATATATTATTATTTAGTATTTTACATACAAATATCACACCTTTCCATTTTACTTGCTTCATATACGGCGTCCACGGCTATGAGTCTCTTTCTCGGGAAAAATAATTTATGAGCTTAGCAACGTGTTCTTGATCATATTCGCTAAATCTACGAGGCATTTTTGTAATAAGAAAAATTAAATTTTGTTTGACAGTACAGGGTGTCCCACTAAGAATAGCTCTCGGCTGTATCTCGGAAAGTATTAGTCGTAGGGCCTACGGGAAAAAAATATTTATAAGGGACTATGAGAAATTGGTGGAAATTATTTTCAAGTTTGTAGAACAACCGCTAGGGGGCGCAACTGCAACAAAAATTAAGAAAACGGAGTTTTTACACAATTTTGCCTAGATAAGGTGTACTATAAGTAATAGCTTCTTAATCTTCAGTAAATTTTGAATATTTTTTGTTGTAGCCATTTTCCCTATCTACCAAAATAAAGTGGTGGGGGAAGGTTAGATCTGTTTTTATTTAAACATTAATAACTCTGGACCGGATGATCGGAATCCAACAAGCGAGGACTCGTTTAAAAGAGCGTTTCTTACTCTATATTATACCATATAAACAATAATAATAAGTTTTTGAACGTAGACGCTAGGGGGCGTTGTCTTGCAATTTAACAAACATTGCGCGTTTTTTCAAAAAAATTAAATGCAATAGTATATGTAATTTTAGCTGATCGGAAAGAGTAGAAAACGCTTAAAAAGTCAGCGAAAACCGCATCTTGATATCTTCTTTCAAACCGAAGATATTAGCAAAATTATAATAAATACCAAAAAATAAGCCTTTAATTACCTTATTTTTACAACACGGTATCAGTAGCCCTCTTGATTATGCCCATTCTAACAAAAAATGAGGTAGAAACAGTTAGTTTATTTTAAAATCAACGAAATACCAGAATACCATATAATACCAGAGGTATTAATATCTAATAATTAAGATATTAATAACAGCGGACAAGAAACGATGATTCAGTGAAGTCATGGTAGGCTTTGGAAAAAAGTTGCTTTTGACGTAATAGTATAAACGTCAAATTGTTCATAGATCAACATTTTGATAGTCTTAGTAGCGTTTTTTTTATTGCTTTTTCAAAATGGCAACAACTTCAACTACTTCAAATAATAAAACAATAAAAACGCTGCTAAAGCTATCAAAATGTTGATCTAATAACAATTTGACGTTTATACTATTACGTTAAAAGCAACTTTTTTCCAAAGCCTACCATGTTCACTGAATCATCGTTTCTTGTTCACTGTTATTAATATCTTAATTATTAGATATTAATACATCTGGTATTATGGAATTCTGGTATTTCGTCGATTTTAAAATAAACTAACCGTTTTTATCTTATTTTTTGTTAGAATGGGCATAATCAAGAGGGCTACTGATACCGTATTGTAAAAATAAGGTAATTAAGGGCTTATTTTTTGGTATTTATTAGTAGTGGGAACTATCGAATGAATACTATCGAAACATTCGATAGTTGCAATTCATTCGAATAATTCGATAGTTAGTAAAAAACATTTGTTGAAAACTATTCGGATAAAAATTATCGAATAGATGCGTCATCTGCCTTGAAATATTGTATTCTAGTAATTCGGCAGCAAAAACCATTCATTTATAAAATTCATTCATTTATGAAATGCATTTATTCGTCAGGATCGATTATAATAAAATATTAACTGAATTTTAGTTGTAGCCCGGCGACGTAGGTTTCTTTCCAAGAAACCCGACAGCGGTCGGTGGCAATGCTATGAAAGAAGCCGGCATCTTTGATTTTTTGCGGAGTCAGATATAGATAAGGACACATTATTTTTTTTATTGAGGTGCTAGTATTTACACAGAAAATACATTATGAAGGGCGCTGGTGCCATATTTTGGTATTAGTTGATATTAGCAAAGAATATTATTGTTTGGCTTTAGTTAGTGATAGTATGTCTATATATTCTGAATTTTTTTTATTAATATTCTGTTGTTACACTGCAATAATACTTGTTATAAGAAAATTATTTTTAATGTTTTTAAGCAAAGACTGGTTTAATAAATAATAATAACAATAATAATTTGTTATACCTATTAACAACAAAATTTAAAATGATTTAATATAAATATTTTTTTAAGTAGTAGCAAAATATAAACAACAAATTAGATGTCAAAATTATTTATATTAGATCCTATTTAAAAATAATAGTCTCTAAATTTTTTGGCAACGTTGGTTTATTAAATAATAATAATTAAAGAACTAATTTGTTATATTAACAACAAATTTTAAAATCATGAAATATAAACATTTATTAATTTTCTAAGCATGCAGTGTAATGGAACGAAAATATAAATAAAAATTAGAAATCAAAATTATTTATATTAGGTGCTTTATATTACTATTTAAAATTATATTTACTTTTACTGGCATTTACTTTAAAAAATAAATGAAATATTTCTTCGCAAAAAACTACATGTAAGAGAATTAGCATAAACAAAATACAAACATCGTTAACTTTTTTTTTTAAATTGGCACGTGTAAAACTTTCATTTTAATTTTCTCACCCCATAGTTTGAGTTCGATAACCATTTACTTAACCACATTACTTAAATATGATTATTAAGTTCAACTAATTCATATTATTACAACATCTAAAATACAAATATGTATTTTTAAAATTAATTGTAAGTTCATCTCATCTCTCTTAAAAATTGCTACTTCTCAAAATTTCCCATTAAAAAATAGACCACATACCATATAAAATTAAATAATTGAAAGATCTGACTACGGAAAACCACACAAATTTTCGGAAAAATTTTGACCACCTGCACACAATCGTCAATAAATAAAATTAAAAATAACTACTATTTTAGTATTTTAACTATTTTAATAAACGCAAAAATAGCACAGTATTTATACGGCGAAGTTATAAAAATTTGGAAGAACTAATAATGCACGACGCATACAAAAATCAAACGAATACTAAATTTCATTTATCAAAAGCATTCGATAGTCGTGGCTCAACGATAACCATTTAGTCGCACGGCGAGGTTGTCACATATGCTTTAGTATACAAATGAATGAATGATTTTATTCGAATAAAACCATTCGATAGTTGAATTCATTCATTCATTAACCATTTGATAGTCTAATTCATTCGATAGTTCCCATCGCTAGTATTTATTATAATTTTGCTAATATCTTCGGTTTGAAAGAAGATATGAAGATGCGGTTTTCGCTGACTTTTTAAGCTTTTTCTACTCTTTCCGATCAGCTAAAATTACATATACTATTGTATTTATTTAAAAAAAAAACGTGCAATGTTTGTTAAATTGTAAGACAACGCCCCTTAGCGTCTATGTTCAAAAGCTTATTATTATTGTTTATATGGTATAATATAGAGTAAGAAACGCTCTTTTAAACGAGCCCTCGCTTGTTGGATTCCGATCATCCAGTCCAGAGTTATTAATATTTAAATAGAAACAGATCTAACCTTCCCCCACCACTTTATTTTGGTAGATAGAGGAAAATTGCTATAACAAAAAATATTCAAAATTTACTGAAGATTATGAAGCTGTTACTTATAGTACACCTTATCTAGGCAAAATTGTGTAAAAACTCCATTTTCTTAATTTTTGTTGCAGTTGCGTCCCCTAGCGGTCGTTCTACAAACTTGAAAATAATTTCCAGCAATTTCTCATAGACTCTTTAGTTATAAATATTTTTTTCCGCAGCTCCTACGGCTAATACTTTCCAAGATACAGCCGAGAGCTATTCTTAGTGGGACATCCGGTACAATCGATTTTTAATTTTGACATTGATCGAATACATCAATAAAACTCTATCTTTCATCTGGTTGTCAAGTGGTAGAGAGAGTATGACAATATGATGACGTAACGTTGAACGATCGCTGAGCATTCTTTACTGGTCTTGTATATAATGTAACACATCGATGCTTCAAATTCGTTTGCCTGGTACTCGGAAACTCTTTTAAACTAACCGAAATCAAACAATTGATCCATCCTCTCAGTGTCATGGGTAACACAGTGTCCAAAGTGTCCACGTCCTTGGAGAACCGGTTCAGGATACGACCTACGGGTGTCACATCGAAAAATAATGGACACGGCGAGCGCAGGATGTTGGACAGGAGAGCTAGATGCAGCTTCCTGGCCGCGTTCAAGCAGCCCACGAACAGGGCCAAGGCCGCGAAGAAGATGACCACGACTGAAAAGGGTATAAAGTAATGTGGGTTGCGTGTCTAGATCATATAAGCTTCGTGGATAAAGCTGTATACCATAAGTTATCTATCTTGTAGACAAGATGTACATCTTTCAGCGTCTTTTAGCTCAATATCAGTTTTCGGACTGTGAATATAAACTCACAAAAAGTAAAGACTAATGATTTTGAATGATTTTCAAACATTTACATCTGTTTTGTCTCTAGAATTAAATATATCTAATAAATAATATGACAATAATTTTTCGTCCATATCAGTGTAATTTTTAGTTAAAGATTTAAATTTATTTCTTAAAGATGACATTCTAGACTGGTCAAAGACGTATGTTTTTGATTTTTTCAATAAATATGAAGCAATTTTACATATCCACGTAGGTTATAAGATCTAAGACGGTAGATATATAGGTGATTAGCTGGTCTTGATTTGTTTTATCGTGTGTTTATAGATTTTTAAAATCAAGACATTTAATATATAATTTAGAAAAACAGTCAACTTAAGTTTAATGGTTGGTCCATGCTTCCGAACTTAACCCTGACACTAACGTTAGTCCTAACCTCAACAATATGAATTAGCCTTAATAAACGTTAGCGTTCGTGCTTTCAATGCGTCGATCTTAACATTAATCGTATCGATCTTAATTTGCGCATGCTCGAAACTAGAAGTTTTAAGAATTTTTAAAATGATATTTGACATGCTATATTTGACGGTTTATAAATGTTAATCGTTTTTTTTTTGGTCTAGAAATGATTAATGTTTATTCACAAACAAATAAATGTTATCATTGTAAAAATTAGTTTCTCTAGTTTTCTAAATTCCAAAAATACTTGTAAAGTTAGGTAAACTCTAAACATATGTTTCATATGTGCGCAAGCGCATACTAGAATATTATTAAGACAAGTAGAATTGTGAACGGAATTTCCTTAAGTTCAAAAGGTTATTTTTTAGGGTTAATATTAAAGGTAAGGTTAGGACTAATACCCGAAGTATGAACTTTAAATATAATTATTTTTTATCGCGAAAGGCCAACAACCGTTCCACACGCAACGACATTGTAAAAACCTTAAAAAGCAATAAAAAATTATAATAACAAGCTTCAAACAAGCTAAAGGCAAATCAACTAAGCTTCTAACAGTATATTTTAAAAATACTCCTAAGTGCTCTACTAAAAGGCAGTTAGTGTGTTAGAGTGTTAACAGTGGTTAAAAAAAATACTAAAAAAAAAACACGAAAAATAATAAATAACAGAAAATAAAATTATATGAAATTAAGAACCTAACCAACATAGAGCAAGTTTATGAACTGACACATGCAAAAATTAAGATAAATTTTGCGAAATAATAATAAAATAGTTAAGATTTAGTTTAAAAATATCAATAAATAAATAAGAGTGTGATTTTAGTGACAAAAATAGTTAAGGTAATGACACTATAAAATGTATAGTTAAATATGGAAAAATTCTACATTTTGTTAATGCAGAAGTTAACTAAAATTATGCACTTACCTTGGCCTATGCCTAAGGCACCGTATACACCTAGGTACATGTCTCTTTTGGCTGTGTCAACAGTGTCGTTGATATATATGTCTTGATCGTCAGCCCATACACCTTTAGAAATACGAAGGTTTAATTATATAAATGTTATTCGATTTATAACAGTAATTTTCATATTCAAAGCTTTAAAAAATTAATAAAAATAGTTTTTTATAAAAAAATAGTCCATATTTTTCTGAGCGCTCTGTATAATACTTAATCAGTTATTAAGCTTCATTCAGAACCTCGAAATTAGTGGAATAAATTAGTGGTTTCAATTAGCGTAGAAGTTAAAAATTAGTGGTAGTAATCCGGTGTTTAACCATAGTAAATTTTTGTTATTTTTAATATAAAATTTAACTGAAGTGATTAAAAAGTACTCCATCAATACAAAAAGAAATGCAACGAAGTTACAATTAAGGAATAAATAATAAATCAAATTCAATACAAATTTCACTGGTTTTAAATGACGCCCTTGTATATATATTTTTAAAGTAGATCAACCTAAGACGTTTATGGACTAAGACTACTAGATGGCAGGACCGGTTTCCCTACAGAAAAATATTTTTTGTTACTCTGAATTTTGAAGCTACCAATAAAAACAGAGAAAATAAAAATCGATAATTTTCGGACTGTGCCAATTGGTTACTAATCGACCAGTTACTTTTTATCTATTAGATATGCTATTAGAAGCTGGCAATTATACAATTCGACCATTGTAAATATCCGACAAATTCTTCAAGGCCGACAAGGCCGATGCTTCTCACTGATAAGAAATAAAAATGTTTGTTTAGATAATTTTCGAGATATTTTTTCTTTCTGAATGCACATTTTAAAATATTTTATATTCTTTGTCCCCTTGACCTATTAATCCTGGTTGCACGTATGGAAGTTCTGTTTCTTCTAGTTTTAGAAAATGTTCATATTTCTTTTTTCTTTGAAGGTGTAGTGTAAAATTAGATTAATTTATTAAGTTTAATTATAGTGTTTAGTGTAGCATGTTAGTGTAGTCTACCAAAAATAGTTTAGTAGTGTTTTTATAGTTTATTTTGTAGTTAAGTAGTAGGTGAAGGGATAATTTTGTTATTTTTTCTTTTTGTTTGATAAATTAGTAAGTTTGATAATTTGTTCAGTGTAGAATACAAAAATAAGTAGTTGTGTAGTGTTTTAAGAGATTATATTCATTTATTTTGTAGTTGAGTAGTAGGTGAAGGGGTATTTGGGTATTTCTTCTTTTTGTTTTTCTTGTAATAATTGTAGTTCTATTAAGTATTGTAATAGATACACTATATCTTCCTTCAACTTCGTTGAAAAGTGCGTTATCATATAATCTTGGTTTTCTGGTAGCAGAATATACGAAAAAAAAATCTGATCAAATTTATTTGAAATTAAATTAATCTAGCCTTATTAATCAAATTAAACTAGTCAAATAATAACAATAGTTAGTTTCAAAATATTATACAGGGTGAGTTTCCTACGATGTTCTCTATTGGCATCTCGGAAACTACTGGAGATAGAGAGTCGGTTAATGGGGGAAAGAATTGCAGTTTTGTGGGGTCATAAATATGCGCCTTTCGGGATTTTCGGAGAAGTTCAAGGCTTATTAGATATTTCGAAAAAAACAAATTTTGGCTATTTTAAAACTTGTCTCTAATTCCATTATAATCTACCGTATGATCGAATAAAAACGGCGTCAACGATGGCTATGAAGTGAAGATCGCTGACATTTTATATGTAAAATTATATGGCAAATATCATTGATCGTCATTTCATAGCCATCGCTGACGCCGTTTTTATTCGATCATACGGTATTTTAGACAAAAAGTTTTCAGATAAAAGTGGTAGATAATCACATACCTAATGAGTGTGTTTTCTGTTTTTTTTTCTAAAGTCTGTCATTTTTGACATATGACACAAACATATGTTTTTTTAGTAAACCATAGTTGGCCATGACTTCATAAAAAGCGCCATTTTTTAAGCTTTTCAGCGATAGGTATAATATCTTTTTTTCGAAAAATTACAAGTTATACCCAATTCTTTTCTTTCTTGGCTAATTTCCATAACAATAATACCATACCAATTAGTTAGCATCAAAAAAGTAAAAAGTTTTGTTTTCAAAAAAAAAAATATCGTAAAATTAGTACAGTACTCAATTTAGAATAAAATAATCTAAGAATGAAATGATTCTTTTATAAACCTGCATTAAATCAACTTAAAATAGGTATGTAACTTTTTTTTAAATATTAATTAACAGCCAATTAGCATAAAATTATCATAAATTATAAATAATGTACCAACATATCGAAATAATAATTTCTTTGTTAATACGGTTTAGAATTCTTAAAATAACAGGCAAAAATAATCCACAGTTTACAGTAAAATAACAGTTTCCTTTAAATTTCTTAATCAGCTGATCACTATTAAAGTTCGCAGATACCCGGGCTATATTATTACATTACTCTGAGGAAAATAACGAAAATAATCGATATTTTTGACTCCGCCCCGAAAGGTTCACGATTTGTCCTCCAGTTAGCGGCACATTTTGTCTAGTCGGTTGACCAACTTTAAGAATATATAAACAAGGACGACGCGTAGAAAATTGTGACGTCACCTATCAGCATTTGACTGAATAGTTCACAGAGGGCGCGAGCCTGTGAAGAATAATATTATGGCGTGTCTAGTTCTCTGCTACCATATTTACACCATATATCTTAAAATCACGTTAGATTTTTCTATTTTTATTAAGATCGTTAAAAAATACGTTTTTATGTGGGATTATTCTTTATTACCCCAATATTAAATTTACTTTTATATTTTTTACTACTAGAAATTAAAACTTAAATTTTTATAATTAACAGGTTACTGCCATTTTTATCGAAGCACTAAACACTACCAAAGTTGTTCGGATGTTCGAGGCGTTCGAGGGTTCGAGGTTAGATTCGTATTTTGTGGATTTTGCTTTTGGCGTTAAATACTTTGAGTTTTCAATTTTGTTTTCTTGTACCCTCTTTATTATTTTTGTAATGAAGGGTGTTAAAGTCTGTTTTGTGAAGGGCTGTCTAAATAACTTTGAAGGCTCTCCAGAAAAAGTTTTTATAACTGTTCCTTTGGATGAAAGCCGTCGAAGAGCCTGGTTTGAAGCGGCAAGACATGTCAGCAAAAGTACGAGATTTTGTTGTGAAGATCATTTTAACGTAAGTTCCTTAAATTTTATTTTACAATTAATTTTATATCTACGTTAAAATACATTTAGAAAATTGGTTTTTATTTACCTTTGTACCTGGTGGCAAACCGCGACACTTTTGATAGGTGACGTCAGAGATTGCAAAAGTGTATAATTGAAATTCTTAATATTGATTAATTTTTAAAAAAAAATGGGATGAAATTGAAGTAAAATAAAAAAATACGGGTGTCATAAAATTGTATGAAGAATAATTATTTGCAATAAAAAAAACTATGGTTAAACTCCGGATTTTCAATTAGTAGAAAAAGTTAAAATACTTCAAAATTTATAAGCTAATTATTAGCAATAACTATGCATACAACTGACTAATGCTGCTAGGATTTTCTATTAATTTTAATTGTATTTTTTAGACATTTTGAATGATCGTAAATTCTTAAGTATAAAGTATAATTGAAACCACTAATTTATTTCACTAATTTAGAAGTTCTGAATGAAGCTTAAGGAAGGATCATCGCGATTAAGGTTGGCCCGACCGCTATGGTACTTCAAAATGGCTGCCTTAAATTCACAGAAATACTTACCCAACCATACGTTTGAACCTATGCTAAATGCCTGGAAACACATGTTCAACAAAACTGTTACTATGACAACAAACACACCAATCGAACTCAAGTAGTGTTTGTAAACCTGCCAACTGACACTGCCAGTCTCAGATTTCTCGGCATCGATGAGTTTTTCACCTTGGACTGGTCCATTCTTCTCTGCAGAACCTAAAAGAAAAAATAGCAAAAATAAAATTGAAGGATTTGAAGGATACATATTTTTTTATGAATGTTTTTTATGAACTTAGTAAAAATTAGAGTTAATATAAAACCGTATATAATAAAATAACTTTCGTTGCACATCATAACACGACCACCAGCAAACTCCATAAGACGACGCATGGTGTCATTGATGACGTGCAACGAAAGATGTTTTAATTTCCCTATACTATTCTAGCTTTCTAATTTTATAATGTTTGTTTTTAAATTTTATTAAAAAACGAGAATTCTATCACCCGGCCGGATAGCCCGGGCAGCTGTGGCCATTAAACCAAAATACTACTACATCTATATCTCTGACTACTACCACAGATTATACAGATTATAAACTTTGTTTTTTCTTTATTGTTTTTCGTGGTTCCAATTTTCGGAATCGGGCACTAGTTAGGTTACTAGTTACTACTTGTGTGGTCTGTTTTTGTTTAAATGTTTTGTTCATTATTCATGTTGGGGACTTATTTTTAAATTAACGTTAATCGTTAGGCAACCAGTATTTCTTTTGCATAATCCAAATTGTCACTCTAAATCGCTGTCATTTTTAGACAGATGTCACTTGTCTTGTCATTATTCAATTCAAGGATATATAGAATAAGGATATTCGACTGGCCCAAAAAAAACGTGCCGTATTTTGTCGAGGAAGTCGATTTCGTCACGACCAATGGGCGTCGAGTATTTGAAATTGAAAACATATAAATTGACGGTAACCTATGTTTTTTGACTCATTTCACTGACAGATGTGATGAGATTATTGTTGTAATTTTTAGATCCAAACGTTTTTTGAAAAAATAATGTATTTTAAAGTTATTTCCTAGAGGTTTGGTTTGGCCTTCTATATTCTGGTATTTGTCTACTAATAAATAATATCTTATTTTGTATTTCGATGTATGGAAATCCGCAAGTTTTGTATCTGAAGCCGCAAAGAAATTTCGCTCTATAGTGAGAAAAATGTTATATCTTTTCAGACGCGTAGAATAACAAAATTTCTTATTTCAGATGTTGTAAATGTGAGTGCTTAATGTCAAAAATTAAAATATATACTTGAAATATTGGTTGAAATATTTCAAGTTATACCCTTTGCCCTTTGGAAGTAAACAAATATTGAAGAAAGTGTTGTGCCTTCACAGAATTTAAATTGGCATTAGGAATAGATTTCCTTGATTTAATAATGATATTGCTCATAGAAATTGATAATATACTATTTTATATTCACTCGTTCAAGTGCTGATCTATTTTTAAATTGAATATTTATGTAAGTATTATGTATAACACAATATAAATAATTTAAGGACATAAGAAGTTAAAATTTCAAGTGCCAATATTGATTATTTTTCCAGTTTTATTCAAATATATTGAAATTAATATGGAAACAAAAGTTCATAAATATTATTCTTAATAACAAGAATTGAGATTTGGGCATAAGTTTGAAAAGCCATGTCAGAAGAGTAGGATTAAAGACAAAGTATTAAGGTAACATATATTTACATAAAGTTTTAATAACACTGACAATTTTATTTGTTTATGTTTATTAATTAAAATTTAGTTGCAATTTATTTCATATTCTAATATTTTTGAGAAAATTTTACTTTTATACATACCTGAATATTATGCTGCTTTTTTATTTTAAAGTGTGCCGACTGTGCTGTTATTTTTATACTAGTAATATTGTATACTGTAGGTATCGTATTCATATATAGTTATATATATATATCAGTAGTATAGATACTTACTTTCTTTCTATGCGTACTTATATCCTTTATAGTCTTTCTAAGTGCATATAATACTACTTTTTTAAGAGAAGGCAGTTTTTAATAATCTATTGTTAATTCCCCTAATTCTGTGTCCCCTGGTTCTGCTATACAACAATTATATATTTTTTTATCATTACTGATTTTAAAAGTTTCTTTTCAAAGAATTTGACCATATATTTTTTTTTCAGAGTAATTGGGCTGTTCCTGAACAATATTGAATATAAATATTCAAAAATATGATAAACTGCATATCCTACTAAGTAGATCAATACCAAAATTCCATTAGAGAAATAAGTTAAAATTATGTTTTACTTGTATAATTTTCTTGCTATTTGTCCACCATTATTTGTGACTTAGAAATTAAATAGTCAAAAAGAATTTAGTACCAGTTTTTATTTCCCAAAAAAAATAATTGTTAAATAATTACATATTGCTTAAGATACAGTATATTATATTGTGTTTATAGTTGATAATTCTAGTTCTTAGTTGTTTATAGTTGATAATTAACAATATTTCTGATGTTAGATATTATATTAGATAAAAAATTTAATTACCAACAGCTACCTACCTATGTAGCTGCAGATTATTATATTGTGTAGTAGGTACTGTATAATTCTTTAGTTCAAGAAACAAATATCAGTACAAGTATATAACCAAAAAATGTTGATGCAAATTCTTTGTATAACATACGTACCCCTATGGTATTCAACTTTTCATTGTTCTTTTAATTAGATACACAATAAGCACATTAATTCGTTTATTAAACAACCAAAACTAACTACTTAAATTCACAATATAAATATCACAATAAATGTATAAGCTTTGATCAATTCCTATTATTAATAGGTACCTGACGACTTCATACTTCCCTATCCTACTAACACACTAGCCAACTAATAATAAATTTTATTTATTAATATTATAATATTAATTAATTTTTTTATTATTTTATTAATATTCATTGCAAACATTTCTCTTTCAAAGGGTCTAAATGTTTTGTCTTTTTACTGTGTCCCTGTAATATGTTATCAATTAACAACAGTTATCAAATATGACCTGGACAATAATAATTGTTTTACCTTTTTTTCAAACTAAACTCTTTAAACAAACTATATAAATAAAATTTATCTCATAATCTAACTTGCTGCTAGAATTTCTTTCTTGTTATTCTATGTTCCTGTATTGTTATTCTTCACATTATCAATTTCTATGAGCAATATCATTATTAAATCAAGGAAATCTATTCCTAATGCCAATTTAAATTCTGTGAAGGCACAACACTTTCTTCAATATTTGTTTACTTCCAAAAAATGTCAAAGCATATAAAATTAATTGAAATAATATTTCAAGTATATATTTAAATTTTTGACATGCACTCAGATTTAGAACATCTGAAATAAGAAATTTTGTAATTCTACACGTCTAAAAAGATATAATAACATTTTTCTCACTATAGAGCGAAATTTCTTTGCGGCTTCAAATACAAAACTTGCGGATTTCCATACATCCAAATACAAAATAAGATATTATTTATTAGTAGACAAATACCAGAATATAGAAGGCCAAACCAAACTCTAGGAAATAACTTTAAAATACATTATTTTTTCAAAAAACGTTTGGATCTAAAAATTACAACAATAATCTCATCACATCTGTCAGTGAAATGAGTCAAAAAACATAGGTTACCGTCAATTTATATGTTTTCAATTTCAAATACTCGACGTTCATTGGTCGTGACGAAATCGTCTTCCTCGACAAAATACGGCATATTTTCCAACATAGCCCGCTATAGGGAGTTGAATATCCTTCTTCTATATATCCTTGATTCAATTCATTATTCGAATTCTACGAATGTTTAATCAATCACAATTGTTTTTCTCCATCATTTACCGGATTAATAATACAGTTCAATTACAAACAATTCATTATTTATAGTGATTTACAGTAATTTTATTAAATTATACGAATATTCAGAAAAAGTCTAATACATCTTTTTCATAAAATCATCTAGGGAGATAATATTTGACCTTTTGAAAATATACATGGGATTTGTTATGTGCCGTGTTCCGATGCACCACACGGTATATTAGTATATCTTACCTTTCCGTCCTTTGGCACTATCTTCAGACTTTTGTCTTTGCAATGACCCGTTCAATCCAGTGTTTGATCCAGTCTCAGAAATCGATTCTGATACTCTTGACCTGTGCCTAACTATCTGCCTGGGACCATCCACTGACGACTGGTGACTAATTCCTACCAGTTGTGACTTGATTTCGTCCAATTCTATAATATAATCCATGATAATTTACACTAATCTTTATAAAAAAAATGTATACATGCTTTAAATGACACCGTACAATCCAAGAAATCAATCCTAAACAACCTAGAAAAACTCAAGGTCTGTCGCATAGTAATATTCTTAGTACCTTACCTTATTTGATTTCTTGTAACTACATCAAAAATATATTTTTTAAGCATCTTAAACGGTGAGAGTATGAAAGATTCAAAGAGTGAAAATACCCCTAATTTTTTTCATAAGCTTAATTTTAAAATAGGTACGATTTAGCTACTGGCATATGCGTTTCAAATTATGAATTAAAATAAATAAAGGTCTAAAATACCCACTTGAATTTAATAAAAACGGAACGCACTCAATTAATAATTTAGGAACGTACTTAAAATTTTCTAAACAATATGAACCGATCTCAGACACACCCTAAAATGCATATTGACAAATATGATAATGACGTAACGTTGAACAATCGCTGAACAGCCTTTAGTTAAATTTTCAATTCTTTATAATGCAATGCAAACCCCAGAAGAATAAGTTAATATAGAGAAGATCTAAGTATTAATTTCTTCGGTCGTACGGCGTTTTGGTTAATAAAAACAAAAAAGGTTTGAAGTACGTAAAACCTTCTCATGAACTGGAAGAAGCTCAATGAAATATATATAGAGAAATATGGAGTTATATACAAAAAAATATACGGAAAAACACGTAACATTCTACACTGATATACGTAGGGAGCCAGAAAGTTAAACAAGCAATAATTGTTTTTCTATTTCACAGTTATTTTTCTTTTTTCTTGTATTTTACGTACCCACAGTAGATTCGGTATTTAAAGAAACATCTAAAAAATTAAAAGAAATACATCAAATATACTGTTAAAGTTATCAAAAACTCGTAATTTAAAAAAACTTCTATAAATGAAAAAAATATATTTAAAAAAAAATAAAATTAAATAAAACACTTGCCTTCTTCATTATCACTATGTTCCTGGATATGCTGCATGAGGAAATCAGCAAAAGCACCCTTCTTAGCCAGCAATTCCTGATAGGTACCACTTTCAGAAATTTCCCCGTTCGTAATAACCAGAATACTGTCGGTTTGAGGCAAATAAGTGATACCGTGCGTAACCAAAACTCTTGTCTTGTTCTTCAAAAGACCTATAAAGAGAGTTATACAGTTAAAATGACTAAATTAAGCCGTCATAGTAACCTTTAGGTCCTAGAACTTCATCGAAAATGTGTTTTCCTACGTGTGAGTCAACTGCGCTCAGTGGGTCGTCCAAGAAGTAGATTTCTGCGTCTGCGTAGACCGCTCTCGCTAAGCTGACTCTTTGTTTTTGACCACCAGATAAATTAATACCTGAAAAAGAAAACATGGATGTCCATTACTGATCCTATTATTTAGCCATTTTTTTCCCAGATTACCTTTTTCTCCAATCTCTGTCTGGTCTCCGCCAGGCAGCATCTCAAAGTCGGGCTTTAGAGCGCATGCTTCGATAACCTTATCATACAGAGTCTTATCATAAGATTTGCCAAAAAGAATGTTGTCCTTTAGGGTGGCGTTTTGGATCCAAGCTTGCTGAGAAACGTATGCTATACTGCCATCGGTATTTACCTATATTTCGAGGAAAATAATAAACTATAGTAAGGTATAGAACGTTCAGTCATCGTTCAACGTTACGTCATATCCTTGTATATGAATTTTTAAAGTAGCTCAACCTAAGACGTTTATGGATGTAAAGCACCAGATGGCGGGGCGTATTTCACAGACCTTTACTAGAGAAAAATATTTTTTGTCACTCTGAATTTTGAAGCGGCCAATAAAAACAGAGAAAATAAAAATCGATAATTTTCGGACTGTGCCAATTGGTTACTAATCGACCAGATACTTTTTGTCTATTAGATATGCTATAAAAGCTGGTAATTCGGGTATTTACAATTCGACCATTGTAAATACCCGACAAATTCCGCAATTGACGTAACGTTGAAGGTTCGCTGAACATGCAGTATACTTACCCATCCAGATATTTTATCCATTTCACCCAAAAAAGCCGATACTAAACTGCTTTTTCCGGAACCGACAGACCCTACGACAGCTGTCAGTGATTTCTTTGACAGTCTCACGTCAATGTTCTTCAAAATCGGGTCTTCACCCCATGAGAAGTTTCCATTTTCAATTACCAAAGGATAATCTGTAACATAAGCCAAATTTTAATCATACAATTCGGGCACAAAGAGGAGAATATTTATTCTACCTTCTGAAGGGCTATGACTAACGTTGCTTGGATCTAGTTCATCGGCATTCATGAAAGTGTTTATTCTTTTTACAGACACGTATGTCTAAAAAAATAGTGTGTTCATATAAATATCGTAATTAATAATAGCTAAAATACATTGTAATCGGATAAAAACGACATTACTATAGTGTTAGAAGTAATATTTCTGATCGACATCAACTGTCAAGAATTTCAGATGTATACAGAGTAAAGCTCGAAGTGAAATGCTATTTCGATGCCTACTATGACGTCGTTTTTATTCATTCTAAGCACTTACTTTTTGTGGTTATAAAATATACTCTGAACACTGCAATTTTTTAGTACAAAGGTTTCTGTCAAATTTAAGACCTTACAGGAATTTAAATAGGTACTTAAACAAGAGTTGTAAAAGTTATCATACGATCGAAAAAAAAACGGTGTCGAAGACGGCTGGGTAATGACTATCGTTGATAATTTTGACCAAGTCAAGGTTAAGAAGATTATAATTATTTTTATATTGAGTAGAAATTACTTTTAAATGGTGTAGTTTAAAATTCGAGATTTTTTTTTAAATAGATTTTTGTGTCTGAAAACGTTCTATCTATTTTTATTTATAATGTTCTATCTCTCCCTTTTTAAACTTTCTATAAATGGTGTTAATTTTCAGTAAATGACGTCTATAGATTGACCTCGCCAAAATTATCGTCGATTGTCATTCCCAGCCGTCTTTGACGTCAATTTTTTTATCATACGGTATATAAGAAAGTAAATCAGAGTATATTTTCCCCCAAAAAAAGTATAATAGTCAATTTGTAAGCTTAAAATAGAAAAAAAAGTCTGTTTCTTGGTATTTAAAATTATAAAATGTTTATATTAAAACAATAATGTTTAAGCTCATAAATTCACTAGATACATACTATTAAATAACAGCAAATTAGAAGGTACAAATAAATTATTAAATATGACTAAAAATCAATATTATTATTAGATTTTCATATTTAAAAAATCCTATGTGTTTATTTAATGAAATACAACGTCTAACTCAAAATATAATACAGGGTGTTTGAAATGCACGGTCAGTGATACTTCTGATCGAAACGTTGTGTAAGCAAAATAAATAAAGACAATGGAAGTCCGAAATTCCTTTAGTTTCAATACTGAATAATTATCTACCATATTCAAAGTAACATTACTATTCAGTGCCTAACTACAAGAAATAGTAAAAAATAATAATGGTATTTTCTTTTAAATTTTAACATCCTGTATGCATCTTTAAAATTATTCATTTCTGAACCCATATTTATAGCAACTTTTTTTTCATATTTTTTTATGACGAATCACCCTCTTAAAAAAATAAAAATAATATTTGTACCTTCCAAAAATATTAAAAAAAAATAATTAAATTTTGTTATATCATTATCTAATAACAAACAATTAACATAAAGCCAAAGAGCACCAAACTAACAAACAAATAATCCTACTGGATGTTTCTAATAACTAATTTAACCTTCAGACAATCTACGTTTAGTATAGTATTTAATTGTTATAACGATGTATAGTATTTTAAGCTAAAGATTGATCACGATGACTGGAATAATTATAGTTTTTTTAATGGAATGTTGTCTGCAATAATTTCACGTTAAAATTAATAGTTGTTAAAAGAAATTCTTTATATTAGAATGCGTTTACAGTAAAGTATTAATAATCTACTAGAAAGAAAAAAATTGTAGATATTCTAAATCACTAAAAGAAAAAAGTATAGTAAAAAGAACTATTTTAAAGCAATTAATAGATGAGACACTAATGAACAAGATAAGTTACTGATTGTTATATGAATACGATGGATCTTAAATTCTGAAAAAATATATATAAAATCTTAATATTTTTTTTCTTTATAACAAAGATAAGTCTTCCCAATTTTGCCACCGGAAGTTTATTTGGTACGACCTGATACAGGGTGGTCCGAACTGTATTCCGGAATGAAATTCCGGTTTCATTTTTATTTCGCTTTTTTCGAAATAATTTCTGAAGTAACGTCAATATTTGGGTGAAAATTGGTGACTGGGAGTTTTTTGACACGAGAAATTTGATTTTGATATCAACACCTACATATTTTTAACTGGTTTGAAGAATAATAACTTTTCGTCCGTACCTGTATAAAACTACTGAGTTCACGTAAAAAAGGTCTCTTAGTAAAAATCGCTACGAGTAATGGTTCTCGAGATTTTTTCAATACCTGTCATCGTTGACATAAATTAAATATGTTGACTAAATAGTTATTAGATTGAAATCATAAATTTAAAATGTTTTTGTGCTAAAAGTTCAACAGAAACTGTTTTATCGCCAATTTTTTCGAAGAAAATTTTATGATTAATTTAAAAAAATAAAAAGCTCACAAATTTATGATATCGGTCAAATAACTATCTACTCAACATGTTAATTTTTAGCCAATAATGACATGTATTGACTATTTCCATTCTAAATATCTTGAGAACGGTTGCTCGTAGAGATTTTGACCAAGGCACATTTTTTACGTAAAAAATCACGGAAATGTATATTTTTTCACTCAGTAGTTTTATACAGGTACGGACGAAAAGTTATTGCCCTTCAAAACAGTTAAAACACATTTAGGTAGCGCCCCCTACAAATAGGAGTCATATTAACATCAAAATCAAATTCCTCATGTCAAAAAGCTCTGAGACACCAATTTTCATCCAAATATTGACGTTACTTCAGAAATTATTTCGAAAAAATCGAAATAAAAATGAAACTTCTACACCCTGTATCTCCGGAACTAAGCATTTTAGGACGTACATTTATACGAACTTTTTTACTTATTTTTATCTGTAGAATACGCTGGCGAATAGAGTTCGTACCACCCTGTATATAAGTTAATTTAAGAACCACCGAAAAAAATAGTTATAAACATGGCCAAAACACCACTGCATAAAACCCCACAAATTACGGGACAAAACAACGCTGAAAGAGAATGGAACGTATTACCAAAACATGTTAACGGTGCTTACTTGGACCATATTGGATATCATCATGGGCAACATACTTAGAGGAAACCTTAAGATATTGAATAGCGATATAGAAACGTACGCTTTGCTCGCATCTAGCACGTTGTTCTCGTCCACCATGACGTAAGTGGCAAAACTGACCAGTGACACCTGGCGGGAGGGGAATGGATGGCGCGCACATGCAAAAGAGGAAACACCTAGCTCTAAATGTCTGTATTCTCTATTTGTATAAATCCATAAACCGTGTAAATTATTAATTATAGTAAAATGAGTCACTAAATGACTTAAAAATGAGGTATTTCTCAATATATTTTCGATGCGATATGTTTTACAAAATACCCAATAAATACAGGGTGTCAAAAAATAGTGTATCAAACTACTGTGGGTGGTTCTACAGATAAAAATAAAACAAAAAGTACCTAGGAATACAGGGTTGTTCACCACATACGACACACAGTATTGTAGCTAAACGATTAGATTTTTACAAATTGTAAGTTTTGGGTTCGTTGAAGGTCTATTAGAGCTACAATTTAAAAATATTTTTACAAGATATAGAGTATTTTTTTAAATAGAACAACCCTGTATATTATTACATTTTTAGATTCTACTATTAAAATAAAGGTAAATTTGATTAAGGCTTATCACACTTAAACCTTACCGTTTTTGAAGTATTTTCAATTTTGTGAAATTGCAGTAAAAATTTTAAGGCTTCGTTTCTCCAAGGGTATCAAAGTTTTTAATACCTAATATTTACTGAAGTTTATCTATTGATCAGTTATTGTGTTGCAATAATAAAATAGTATTACTTCATAAAAAGTGTCTAAAAATTTATTTTAAATGATTCCTAGCTTTAAAAGGCAATAACTTGTTTAGTTTAAATGAACTACCCTGTATATTTTAGGAGAACCGGATGCACAATTTAATTGACTATCAAATTGTATTAAACCATTTTTTACATATCCAATATATTGGGCTTGTTTCTCTCCTGAATTTCCTGTTTCACAATGTACCGTTTGTGTCCGGGAAGGGTTCATAGTTTCACAGTTGCCGGGAAGAGTTCATAGTTTCATAGTTGTCGATTTTCGAAAGAAATCAGTACATGTATATTATTTCGTATATTTTTCATTTTATTGATTTTATGGAAAGCACTGTTCATTAAAATGTTGTATCCTATGTTATAGGGCTTGTTTCTCTCTACAATTTCCTGTTTCACAATGTACCGTTTGTGTCCGGGAAGGGTTCATAGTTTCATAGTTGTCGATTTTCGAAAGAAATCAGTACATGTATATTATTTCGTATATTTTTCATTTTATTGATTTTATGGAAAGCACTGTTCATTAAAATGTTGTATCCTATGTTATAGGGCTTGTTTCTCTCTACAATTTCCTGTTTCACAATGTACCGTTTGTATCCGGGAAGGGTTCATAGTTTCATAGTAGTCGATTTTCGAAAGAAATCAGTACATGTATATTATTCATTTTATTGATTTTATGGAAAGCACTGTTCATTAAAATGTTGTATCCTATGTTATAGGGCTTGTTTCTCCCTACAATTTCCTGTTTCACAATGTACCGTTTGTGTCAGGGAAGGGTTCATAGTTTCACAGTTGCCGGGAAGAGTTCATAGTTTCATAGTTGTCGATTTTCGAAAGAAATCAGGATCTATAGGTACTTACCAACAAAAGATATGATATAGAAAGAAATTATTTAAATCTGTGTAGTGTTTAGTGGTAAACTAGTGTTTGACTTTGTGTATTTTAAACACACGAAAATATCAATGAGAAATACCTCACCATCCTGTAAAATTAAGCATGGACCTACAAGAAAAATGAGAGATTATAGGTTAACACAACCACCTTTGAGCTGGAAAGTAAAAAAAAGTCGAAAGAGAATCAAGATAAAAATAAATAAACATAATTTTAAGGTTATGAGTTGCTCTTTGCTTCCGGCCTTCCTTTTTACCTCCACTGTATATACCAACAGTATGGGTAGTAGTCCCATTGGCATGCCCATTATGCCGAACAGTGTCAAAGACTTGAAGGCCTTCTCTGGTGTCAAGATGTTCGACTTGTCGCTCAGTGTAAAAGAAAGGAATGTTGCCAAAACTACCTAATTTTTAATGGGAAAAAGTATCTATAGTCTGTCCAGCAAAAGAATATATTACAGTAACAGATGTCATGTTATTTATTCCTTTGAATAAAAAGATTACGAAAGGAGTATAATGCTATCCATGTATTCATGCATGGCCGGAAGAGGACTCTAGGGTAGGGATCCTTGACAGTTCTGTTTGACGATTCACTTGACACATTTGAATTTGATTTGACATTTTGTGGATTTGTCAGCCTTTACTGAGCTTATTTTATGTTATTTATTATTTATTCTACTACTGATAGTTGTTAAAGGTAGTAAATCTAGGACATTGTGGCAAAACTTAAATTAACAGTGACACTATTGCGATTTATCGAAAAATATATAAAGTAAAAAAATTATGAAATATATAAAAAAATATATAGAAATCGAGGGAAATAATGGAATAACTTTTCGCTAGTAAGTGACTATATAATATATGTACACATACGTGTAGTAAACCGATCATTTATGAAACTCACTTAAAATTAACTAATTATATATTTTTTTCTTGCATTTTTGCTTTTATTTACTACTTGTCAAAGATTAGATGTCAAAGAATTTAGATACGTCAATTTGACTTACCTGCTTCAGTAGCGTGTCGGATTTTTTTGTTAATAAATAATTATTATAACTTATCTATTTTTATTAGAATTATATATTTTTATAACAACTACCAACATCTATTAACAACACAAAATAAAACAACAAATTATTGAGTCTACGCCACGTCAACCCTACATCATATTTTTACACGTTTTGAATAAAATTAGAACGGCACTAATAAACCGGAATTTAAGTCGGCCATTTTAGAGTCCCGTCGCGGTCGATCTAAGATTTTTGATATGCTCCTTCCTTAATCTTTTTATTCAAAGGTTTATTCTGTTATTTTCTTGGGTGCCTTCTGTTGAAATCGTATATATTCTAGCACTGGATAGATAATCCTTTAGTACTTAGTTTACTACACTAAAACAGGCCACTCACCAGAGATCATGTTTTAGCAATGCTTAGCAACATTCATCAACATATTGCCCAACATGCCCCTCGGTGGGTGGTCTACTTTAATTTTATAAGAAGCAATCACCCCTTATTTTTTTCGAACTTATTTAAAAAAGTTTTTTAAAGTTATATGTATATTTATTCACCTGAAATAAAAAAGGTTAATTTACATAGATAAAAAAATGTTTCACAACATTACACTCAGAAAGAATATCAACAAGGACATGTCAAAAATATAAACAATGACTGAAAATATTGGATTAAAATAAATAATTATCTTTTGCTATTTGCGGAATGTTGCACAATACTTATTAAACTCAATTTTATCTCGATGCAAAGTCATTGACTACAGGAAAATATATATGTGTATACGCAAAGGGGATCATAAGAAGCAAGATAGGGTTGAGAGTTGAGAGTAATGTGATTCATAGAAATACAATTGTAGTAAAATTTAAAGAGTAAGTCATATAATTGGAGACCAATATCTATAATTTGAAGTACCTATGAATAATAATATGAAATTCCTAAAATTCATTTTATAATAAATAAAAAAAAACAACATATTGATTTAAATTTAAAAAGAATATCGTTAAATTTACTTAACGTGTGATAATGTGATACAGTTAATAATAATTATTATTAAGACTTTAAAAACAATTTTTCTTAGAGTTGGCTCACCTCTATAACTTTTTTATTTGTTGTGGTTAAAAAACGAGATTTGGTATGGTAGTATATGACATAAATTAGGTTTGATTGTCTTATCCAATTATTTTTGATCACTTCCTGTTTCACCGGAAATGACTACAACTTTTGGTTTACTGAAAATAATAATCTGTGATTGTATTGTTACCAGAATATTTTGTTGAAGGGACTTTACCATATACATTATAATGCCCTGTAATATGGATGATAATGCACAAGGGCGTTCTTATTTATGTGTTTGGTACTCTATAAATAATGTTGAAATAATAAAAAAATTAAATGTATTAATTATTAAAATGTTAATAAATAAATAGAACTCCAGAGTTTACAGTAAATGCTTCTGAGATGTAGACAGTTGTAGTTATGTAAATATTTTTGACAGGTTATTGTGCCATTGTGTATAGGTAGACAAAGATAAACTTATATTTAAGTAACACAGGTAAAGGTTGCATAACAAAAAATAAAATAAAGTAAGTACAATATTTACTTAATGTAACTAAAGCGAATGAGACTAGAAAAGGAAAACATTATTTTACCAAAGTTTACAGAACTTATTTTTAATTCTCTAAACGTTTATTATACTTATGTTCTTTAAGAAATATTTATTTTTTTATTAAATAACTTGATACTATATATAAATTATTAATTTATTATAATTATCAATTAATTCTTGTTTATTTTTTCGTAAGTCTGAAATCTTAAGCTGTTATTACATCACGTTCTGGTTTTAATTAACTAATCCAACGAGTTTTCGACGCAAAAATAATTTATAATAGATGCACAATGTCAAATGTCAACAAATTTGCATAATTATTGTTATTATTTTATCCCGACAAAAAGAAAGAACCTTTCTTAGAGCGACATTCTTAAGTATTTTCAACATAACATTTTGTAAAATAAATACCTATAAACCTAAGATCGCTAACAAAATCAAATGAAGAGCAAATAGCAATGTATAGAATGTTGAGTCATCGTTTAACGTTACGTCATATATTGTCGAACTCTCTCTGTCACTTGCCAACCAGATGAAAGAGATTGGTGACGTCTGTACGGCATTTCGTAAATTACTGCGCATTCTTTTTAGTAATTGTCATTTTCATTTGATTTTGGGTTATCATTTTATTGACGGACATCGATCAATGTCAAAATTAAAATTTGATTCTTGCTGTAAAACAAAATTCAAATTTTTTTGTTGCAAAAATGCCTCAAAGGTTTAACCAAAACGAACGCTCGAGCTCATTGCTAAGCTTATAAATTATTTTTCTCGGGAAAGAGACGCTGGTAGAACACTCTTGTCCGTGAACGCCTTAGGGCTGGCAACGGTTAGTCTTGGGTCGAGATTTCCGTATGTAAGAAGAGTACAATGCGTTTATAATGTACTGAACAAAGAGAGGACAGTAATCACGTTGCCAAACGTATGAACTGAATCGAGAAACTGTGCACATTGCGTGGAAAGGGATATAGCAGATTTGTCGCAGTTAACCGGTCGACCCAATGAGTACCTCTGTCAGTACTTAAAGTTCTAGGGAAAGGTGTACGTCATGCGTTCAGCTTCACGATTTAATTACGTCTCGTGATACTTTATTTGTTTATCTATTAACGAGTCGTTGTAATTTTCCCTATAACTGGAAAATTTTTAAGTGCAAGCTAGAAACACTTGCATTTTTGGTAAAAATAAGTGGAATTGAGTTGGTTTTCGTCAGTGGTCGGGCTATTAGAACTCTGAATTCAAAAATCGATATCTCGAAATCTATTAGAAATAATTGATTGTAATTTTTTCAAAAACTTTCTTAATATTTCTGCTGTATTTTCTTCGTCGACAGTAAGTGAAAATCTTTATCAATAAAAAAAGTACACGACTGCTGAAAATTGCTATGCTCTAAAAGTAAATAGATGGGTTGTTTACAATTTTCAATAGAAAAAACAACCTTATCGAATTTTTCTTATGTAGACATATTGTAAAAGATCCTATCTTCAAAATAAAAAAAGTTTCATTTAAAGTATTTCTTGAGTTATGGCGTGTTATGTGTTAAAAAGTTGAGTTTTTAAATTATCGCGATTACTGACGTTTTCTCGTTATAAAAAAATGACACCTTAAAGATATCCTTATAATTCCATTTCAGATGCTCAGAAACATTTCTAATGATTTTATCTAGTTATCCTTTCGAAAAAAAGTCTTTTAAAAATCAGCCTTTGCGTTTGCGTTCGTGATTTTACTTTACTTGATAGGGAAAGGCGTACCGGCAACGCCGCAACAGCACTCCGTCGCATTTCTCTCACTCCGACTTAATAAGATCCCTATGCGATTTACTTCCACACATGTAAATACCGACCCAAAAGTAACAGTTGCCAGCACGGTATGAAGTACCTAAGTACAATGCAAAGGTGTAATATTCGTATGTAAAATACAAATTGATAGCGTTTTTAAAAAATATAGCGAGTTACTGATGCTTGAGAAATCGAAATTTCAACAGTCCCAAGGTTTGGAACTAAAGGGATAGTAATTGATGAAGAGTTCAAGAAAATATTAAAAAATGCCGAAAAAAAAACGCTCAATCAATAATATAGGAACGTACTTAAAATTTTCTAAACAATATGAACTGATCTCAGACACACCCTAAGACTCTAAGAAGAAGAGTTTTTTTTTCTCAGGTAAGATTTCGACAGACGATGACAGAAGAAAAGCAGATGACGTCCCATACCAATCTATTTATTTTATTAAAAAAAGTTTCTAATAATTTTTAAGTTATCTATGGATGGGTTTAAATATAAATCCGTCATGCGTCGTGTCTTGTTGTTTTTAACCAGTTTTATTGGTTTATTTAAAAATAACAGATCGTATTCATTTTTATTGGTTTGACGGAACGATGAACGACAAACGAACACCGATGCGTATGAACTCGCCTTTAGATTTTTGTCATTTTTGATGATTGTCAAAGTCTTGCCAAATTATAGGTTATAATTTTCTGTCAACTTTTGTTAAATACCCTGCGTTTTGGAAGATTATGCATTTTGATTCGTATTATTACGTGTGTTTTGTGTCTTTTGAAGTCAAGTGGAGGAAAAATCGAGTGAAAATTAACTGTAGACCCAGAGCACAGTTTATGGTTAATACTCGCTGTCCAGGCAGAAAGTCTTATACACCAATGAAGTTGCCATCGATAAATTTTGTATACCATTTCGTCGTAGATAAGTGCATCTCGTATATGGTAGAAGGATCAAACTAAACATATACTAAAAACTGGAGTAGCTGTAAAATATCGACATCACACGAGAGGTAAATAATGGATTTTAGTAATGTAGAAAAATAATGTCAAAAGGTCCTGGTTTAAAAAAAATTAAGATTAAAGTTAATTAATCAACCTTTAAGGTATAAAATTTGGTAGGTGTTATTATTATTAAAATAGTTTGTTTTATTTACCTATGTTGTTTTATTTATTCCTGTGGAATATTACAAATTTGTATTTGTACATAAGTTATATTGATAAATATAATCATAAATGCGGGTAGTTTCATAAAGCTTGAAAGTAAATAATAGTTCTTTTTATATTTTTTGGTATGTAGTGTCTTGTTCTTGTTTGTTTTGTATTAACACATACCGTTTTATTAAATAAAATAACTCGATTACATTTTTCAGTTTTATACAGTTTTTTTCACAATATTTTGAAGTAATCACTTGTCAGTCAAATTTTAAATATATCCTGCTATGCGTTCCAGTTGTACCAACTTATTTCTTTGTAAAATAAAATAAACTACTTTGAAATTAAAATGACAGACACATCTATCACTGTCAAGGATCTTCTCGTTGGACAGACTATATCTGACATATAATGATGACGTAACGTTGAACGATGGCTGAACAGTCTTTACCTCAATACACCCTTGGTGCATAAATTACAAAAAAAAATGGTCAAGTGCGAGTCGGACTCGCGCACGACGGGTTCCGTACCATTCATTATCTATACAACATTAGACACTATATTATTATAAACTTTTTTCCGATTTAGCTGAAATTTTGAATGGGCGTATAAGTAATTAAAAAAAAATAAAAAAACACAGTACTAAAAATTGTATTAATCAAAAATAAATACGTAAAAAGTAAAAATAAATATGTAAAAATTAAAAAAAAACGATTAAAAAAAGTCGCCTTGACTAGGATTCGAACCTGCTTTACTACGGCCAAATAGCAGCGTAAAGTCCTAACGCTTTAACCACGCGGCCACCGAGAACTTGAAAGTTTCTATGTAAAATTCTTACTTAAAAGATAATGTTTAGTGAAAGTCCTTTTTTATTTATAAACATTTATTTAATTCTGTTTTTAGTATTTGTTGTTATAGCGGCATCATAGATACATTATCTGTGAAAATTTCAACTGTCTAGCTATAACGGTTCATAAGATAGACCTTTGTGACGGACGGACGGACGGACGGACAGCGATGTCTTAGTAATAGGGTTCCCGTTTTTACCCTTTGGGTACGGAACCCTAAATAAAGGTGATTTGCGTCATTTATAACAAATTCCTTTAGTTGTTATCGGTTTTTAGAATCAAAATATTCTTACGTCATTTTTACAATAGTTTACGCAATATTAAAGCTGGGATGCACTATTACAATAAAACAATTACTTCAAAGAAAAATACATAATAACTTAATAAGTTCTGTACAATAAACCGATGATATTTTCTTAAGTTTAGAGTGTAAACATTTTTTTATTATTAAAACGTGCTTTACAAGGATTCTCAACAAAAGAAAAAAAATGGACGGAAATCATCTTTTCTCAAGGTTTACAGCAACCATAAACCATTGTAAAGAAAAGATGAAAAAATAGGAAGGCATTTTCTAAAATAAATATAAAACGATTAAATAACTGAATAAAGTAACATATTTTTTTCTGAAATTTTGTCACACAAAATTCACACAACAGATCTATAAGGTCGCGGTGATTAACTTCACAATCAATCACAGTCAATCAAAAATAAAGTTTTAGTGACAAAAATTCCAGAAAAATACTAAAAAAAATATTACACCGTAAATAACTAAAAACAGACAGAACTCACCAAAAACGGCGCACAAGACCAGATAAAGGAAGTCCCAGCGTTCAAATATGCCGCCTGCTTTAACACGTGAATCTCCTTATCCCTGATCTTCAACACCTGGTTCTCGAAACTGGGTTCCCAAGCGTACAGCTTCAACACCTTGATCCCGCTCAACACCTCGTTCATCAGCTTCACTCTCTCGTCTTTGTTCTTCATCTGCTTGATCTGGAGAATCTTTGACTTGTTGGCAATGAAGCCGTTGACTGGGATGAGGATGATCATGACAGCTAGACCTGCCAGGACTGAAGGGCCCAGTTCTTTCCAGAGAAAATACATGGAGAGGCAGATCTGGAGAGGTGCTGACCAGATCATGTTAAGGTAGGCAGTGAGGTCCATGAATTTTTGAGCATCTACGGCCATCAGGTTTACGATTTCACCTATAGTTTAAATTTAGAAAAGAACAATTATGAAAAAAATAAAATGTGCTTTAAAAAATCAATTTTATTAGCGTAAAGCTTCATCCGGAACCATAGTGGAATAACTAACCTGCTGTTCTTTCTTTTCTAGCTTTATTCGAGATTTTCAGAGATTTCCTGTAGATAGTCGAGACTAAAGCGGTTCTAATGCGCATGCCCACCACGAACATCCGGTTGAAGTACTGCGCCAAAAAGACAGTTTGAATCGTAGCTGTCACGAAAAGAAGTATGGCGTACAAAGGACCGTGCCAAAAATAATCTGGAGCCTTCACAAATTTAATAATTAACCTACAAAAAGAAAGGTTTTTAATGGTCATCTTAGGTAAAAATGAAAACAGAAAAGAAAATTACTTACCCTAATATTTGTGGACTGACAAAGGTAAGCAAGTCCTGAACAAGTTTTAGAACAGCTCCGAACAGAAACATAGGGCCAAAGGATTTAAGTAATGCCGGTAAAATAGATGCCTCTTTCCTTTTGGCCGGGACGAATTCTATGTGACCTGAGTCGCCTTTGAACTGTGCTCTGGCATGTGTGGTTCCCCTATGACATAAATATACTATTTTATATACAGGGTGGTCTGAATTGTAATCGATTTTTAATTATATTCGATTTTGAAGCCAGTATGACTCCTATTGTAGGGGATGCCAGCTACATATTTTTAAGTGTTTTGAAGGTTAATAATGTTTCGTCCGTAATTGTATCACGCTACTAAGACCCAAAACGTTGGAAAAATGAGCTCCAGAACATCGGTTTATTCTATAATCCAAAATTTTGGATGAACCCCACGTTGGGCACCAAAATTACGGCGCCTTTAAATTTAAAATTCCATAAAATATACATATTTCGCCATTTTTTACCTAAACTTTATTTTACTTTTTCAGTGGAAAACAAATAAAAATAAAATTTCGACACCCTGTATCACCGAAGCGAAGGATTTTAGGACGTGAATTTATACGAACTTTTTACATAATTTTATCTGCAGAATATGTTGTTAAAGTTTCAAGATATATTCATATTTTAAAAAAAACGGAATTTTAAGTTAGTAATATTCTCTGATTTCGTTGATCTACAACTGTCTTATTAATCTTGTTCAATAGTTTTAATAAACACCCTTTGAAAACACTAAATTTATCTACTTGACTTACCCTTCGCTTTTTAAGACAGTGTGTTTCCAGTGTTTTTCGAAAACTGGCACTATTTCCGCTGCTGAATCTTCTGGTTTCATGTCCCACAAGTCCTTGGCTTCCAGAGGTTTTCTGAAACCTCGCCACGTCATGCGATCGAACCAGGCGAAGACCATCCTGGATAAGAAACTGGCACCTTCTTCTGGACATGGGTTCTGGAAAGAAAAAAGCCTTGAAATATCCTGATTTCACACCAAGCACCAATAAGTAATCTTGTGTTTTTTTCCAATGTCAATATAATAGTCTAAGTTAAAAGAAAATGCATTTTCTACAAAAACTAGAAGAGATAGGTAAAAAAATGGTATAATACAATTTGATAGACAATTAAATTGTGAATCTGATTCTCGTAAAATATACAGGGTGTTCCATTTAAACTAAACAAGTTATTGCCGTTTAAAGCTAGTAATTATTTAAAATAAATTTGTAGACGCTCTGTATAAGGTAGTATTATTTTTATTATCGCAACACAAAATTTAGTAAATAGGAAAACTTCAGTACAATATTTGGTTTTAAAAACTTAAATACGCCTAAAAAATGAAGCATTAAAATTGTTAACTGCATTTTCACAAGATCGTAAATATTTTAAAAACGGTAAGGTTAAAGTGCGGTAAACCATCAACCAATCACCAATCAAATTGGCCTTTATTTTAAACGTAAAAACTAAAAATGTAATAATATACAAGGTGTTCCATTTAAAAAAAAACACAACTTTGATATTTTTTAATTATTTGGGACCCTCTGTACCTTATGAAAATAATTTTAAATTGTAATTTTAGTAGTTTTAGTTTCCTCCAACGATATTTCGTGTCGAATGAGGTGAACACCCTGTATAATTCTTTATTAATTTGATTTATTTATACAGGACATTATTTTTTTTATTTGACTCTTGCTGTACTATCTTGAGTTTCTTAAAAGTGTTGGTACAGTATGTGAATTATACAAGGAATAGCAATAAATGCAGCCATAAGTTTTAAAAAATGTTAAAAATTTTATTTTAAACTCAAAAATCATCTCTATCAAGCTTAAATAAATAAATAGATACTTCAAAAACAGTCGATGAACACCGAAAAACCAGATTCTCCAAACAAGATTTTTAAATTCTGATCTACACAGTTGATTATGTCCTTGACTTTTCCCCACATTCACGAAGAAAAGAAAGAACAACAACGGAAAGGAAGACGAGATATATAATTGTTATGTAACATTCTCTTTCTGGCGCGAATCAAGCCATTGGCGTAGGTAGCCGAAGAAAAATAAATAAGAAATTCGCAATTATTATAAATGTAAACTCATAACTACCCTCATACGTTACTACCCCTTCGTATGCCTACCCTCACCCTACAAACCCTCAGATTGATATACCTCCGTTATCAGAAACACGTAGAGCGCATGACTTTTTTTACTTTGTCTACAGATAAGTGATATTGTTGTCTATATATTATTTGTTAATAAATAAAATTTTCTTGCCTTTAGCTGTGTATTTTTTTTTAATTTCGAAAAATTGAAAGTAGAGAAAAAAATAATAAAAAGTAAAAAGAAAATTGTTTTTTTTACCCCCCCCCCCCTTTACAACAAGCAAAACAATTTTCTTTTTACTTTTTATTATTAAACGGTTTTATTTAGCTCGATCCGTACGGTATTTATTTATTTGTTTGTTTATTTGGGTCAAAATTAAAAATTGAAATTTAAGTACCTTCCTGTTGTCAGATTGATCTGAAATTTGGTACACACCTTTAGTTCCGATGACAATACAATATAGTAATATCAATAACATTGTAAATCTAAGATGGCCGCCGGTACAAAATGGCGGATTTCATATTTTTCCACAACCCCTCAATATGGGTATCAAATGAAAGGGCTACACTAGTAGAATACTGTGATTATGACAAAATTTAAAATCCAAGATGGACGTCGTTACAAAATGGCGTATTAGGTGAGGGCATGAGTAGTCGTGTCCAGAACAGTTGTGTCCAAGATTGTGTGACGTTAGAAGGACAGATAAAAAAAAAAAATAGGTGATGAATTTGTGAAAATGTTGCGGTCCAACATTGACGTTACAAAAGGATTGGTAAATGGTGCTATAGGCCACATTACAGAAATTGTTTGGCCTCTGTTCCGTCGAACCCAAATGTACGAAACAGATGTACCATCAGTTTGGATTGACTTTGGCAGAGACGGCATACACGTTATACACCGGAAAGCCATACAGTTTCCAGCAAAATTCAATTATGGTACGGCTGAAAGAAGGATGTTACCCTTAATTTTGTCATGGGCATCCACCGTCCATAAAATGCAGGGCAGCACAGTCGACCATGCAGTAGTGTATTTGGGCTCAAAATTGTTTGAGGAAGGGCAAGCATACGTGGCTCTAAGTCGAGTCAAGTCTCTGGAAGGGCTATGTGTTGAGGAATTAGATTGTAATAAATTATCAGGTAAAAAACCATGTAACAATGATGCACTAAATGAATTAAATAGAATGAGGAATATTCGGTAGGCATTTCCGTTAAATACTAAAAACTAGAAAATAAAAAATCGGTAAAAAACTTTTAAGTTAAACGGTTTTATCTTATGTGCACTGAAAACTAGAAAATAATAATAACAATTAGTTGTTTTGAACTTCTAGTTCAGAAAATATTTTAGTACTAGGCAGAATACTTTTAGGCATATTAGACTAAAATAAAAACGTGGGGCCCCTCTGAAATCCTACCTATGGCAAAGCATATCTTTATACTTTGGTATATGAGCTCGGCGTTCGCTGATGAAGCCGCCACGGCTGGTTATTGATTGTCAAAATCTCCAGTTACGATTATAGTAAGTCGATGCAATCCAACTTAGTATAGAAGAAAGTATTACAGCAATAGTTAATGGGCCCCACGTTTTTATTTTAGTCTAATATGCCTAAAAGCTATTCTGCCTAGTACTAAAATATTTCTGAACTAGAAGTTCAAAATACCTAATTGTTATTATCATTTTCTAGTTTTCAGTGCACATAAGATAAAACCGTTTAACTTAAAAGTTTTTTTACCGATTTTTTTTCTCCACTTTCGATTTTTCGAAATTACAAAGTTAAAGGCAAGAAAATATTATTTATTACACTAAAACTGTAAGAATTTTGTTCATTTCATATATGTATTATGTATATTATTTGTATGTGCTTTTCGTATAATCTTTCATTACACAAAATTAAACTACGCTACTGATTTACAGAATGAATCATAAATAATTTGAGTAAGATAATGATTTGGTGAACAAATCGCAGATTATGTTTATATCGTTAGTTGTCAGTTTTTTTATCAGCTAAAAAAATAACACAAATAATCCTTGGGTTACAAATAATGGGTCTTCCTCTGGCCTTGAGTTGACTATGCAAATATCGGAAAAAATACCTATCAATAAACCGATAAACATGAATCAAATGGATTCAACGACACTCTGAAAAAGTATTTGTTTAACCACACGCGTACCGTTGATAAATATCTCGATTGCTATTCAAAAAACATCTGCTTTGGTTGAGGACATGAAAGCAAAAAAAACGTTTGCAAATTATTGTACGTGTTTTCTTCTTATTGGTTCAGAACTTCCTTTTACCTATCTATCTTAATGACAAAAATATACCTACATTTTTAGCCGACAATACCAACAGGTATGGTTTGGTTTTTTTTAATTTCATTCAAAATGAGTTATTTGGGTCATAAATAACCTAAATACAAAATATTTTCATGGTGGTCTGTCTGTAACACGATAACTCAAAAACCGCTAAACCGATTTTAAGCAAATTTGGCACAAAAATACTGTGACACCCGAGAATCTGGCCATTAGTTTTTGGTGGGGGTGGGGGGTTGGCAAGGGGGTATGGGAGGGGGTTAAAAATTTTAAACAATGGTAACTCCAAAAGTAGGTAGCGAAACGCGGTTTTCAATTTAAGATTAGGAATAATATTTGCAACAACATTTGTAATGACACCAAAATCATTCAAAGTCGCAGTTTTTGAGATATTCCGTGTTTCCGTAGTCCGTTTTTGAGAAAATCCGTGTGGAGAACTCCAAACTGCCATCGGACGCGACCCCAGGTGGCGGATAGGGGAAATAACCGCGGACCAAAATTGGAAAAATTCCTTTACTTTGAAACTAAAAGAACTGCCCACCAACTTTTTATTAACATATTTTAGTATGGGCGGCTTACGTGCCTCCCGGCGCCAATTTTTTTATAAACGGTATCACATATCGTGTGATGCATGGGAAACGGGACATAGGAAATCCCATGTAAATTTTAAAACGAAATTTTTGCTGGTATTTTAATTCTATACATAAAAATCGTATTCCTTTTTTATAAGGCATAAAAAACTATTTTAATACAATATAATCATTAACCTGCATTGATTTCAATTAAGTTTATAAATAATGTGGCATAGGTCACAGATTAATTATTTAAATTGTCGTTTATTATCCAATGCATCAGGCAGACTATCATATAAAAGAAATGAAATATATCCATGTTTTCTTAATAAAAAGAACACTATAAAAACATAAATACTGGTAAAAAAAATATTGATTAGTTGAAAATGGACAAAATCTGCTCAGTCATCAATAAAAAAAGATATTTATTAATTATATATTGAATTTAGTTAGGCAGACTTAAAAATATACATGTACTGATTTCTTTTGAAAATCGACAACTATGAAACTATGAACCCTTCCCGGACACAAACGGTACATTGTGAGACAGGAAACTGTAGAGAGAAACAAGCCCTATAACATAGGATACAACATTTTAATGAACAGTGCTTTCCATTAAATCAATAAAATGAAAAATATACGAAATAATATACATGTACTGATTTCTTTCGAAAATCGACAACTATGAAACTATGAACCCTTCCCGGACACAAACGGTACATTGTGAGACAGGAAATTGTAGAGAGAAACAAGTGCTATAACATAGGATACAACATTTTAATGAACAGTTCTATCCATAAAATCAATAAAATGAAAAATATACGAAATAATATACATGTACTGATTTCTTTCGAAAATCGACAACTATGAAACTATGAACCCTTCCCGGACACAAACGGTACATTGTGAGACAGGAAATTGTAGAGAGAAACAAGTGCTATAACATAGGATACAACATTTTAATGAAAAAGTTCTATCCATAAAATCAATAAAATAAGTAAAATATACGAAATAATATACATGTACTAAACAAACTTTCGAAAATCGACAACTATGAAACTAGACCCTTCCCGGACACAAAAAACATTGTGAGACAGGAAACCAGAGAGAAACAATGCTATAACATAGGATACAACATTTTAATGAACAGTTCTATCCATAAAATCAATAAAATGAAAAATATACGAAATAATATACATGTACTGATTTCTTTCGAAAATCGACAACTATGAAACTATGAACCCTTCCCGGACACAAACGGTACATTGTGAGACAGGAAATTGTAGAGAGAAACAAGTGCTATAACATAGGATACAACATTTTAATGAACAGTTCTATCCATAAAATCAATAAAATGAAAAATATACGAAATAATATACATGTACTGATTTCTTTCGAAAATCGACAACTATGAAACTATGAACCCTTCCCGGACACAAACGGTACATTGTGAGACAGGAAATTGTAGAGAGAAACAAGTGCTATAACATAGGATACAACATTTTAATGAACAGTGCTTTCCATAAAATCAATAAAATGAAAAATATACGAAATAATATACATGTACTGGTTTCTACAGGGAAAGAAATAAAAAAAAATATTGACTCAATTGAGACAAAAACAATTCAGTGTCATTTTCTATAGAATAAAGTAAAAAAAAATACCGACATTAGCCAACACCCTGTATATAAACAGACCTAAGAGCGCTTTCACACACGCCGGCAAAATCGGTGCCGGTACCGGTCCTGAAATCGATTGCAATATAAATAAATTAGCTCCTTCACATATACTCCGATCCGGTAAAATAGTCGTGGACCGGCAAATTCAACAGAATTAAATGCAACTATCGGAACGTGTGCAAAGCCGGCGCCGGATCCGGCACCGACTTTGCCGGTGCGTGTGCAAGCGCTCTAACAAACTCACTCAACTGGTTTTAACGGTAAAATTATTTTTGTCACGCCAACTACGCATCAGTGAGTAACTAATGTTCTAGAGGTCCTTCTTTTTAACCATCTAAGCTAATTAAAAAAATTACTTAAAACTACCACAAAAACCATAAACAGTAAAAACATATTAATTGTTTTATTTCACCTGTTATTTTTTTGGGACACCTACTTCTACAGTATGTCCCCGCATTGTCTCTACCAGAGGAAAAACTTTTTTGAGAAAAATGCATTTTTCATAAAAAAAAATCTTGTTCTATAATGGTTAATCCCGTTTATACTTTTCTAAATTTCCATACCATTTTAGTAAAAAAATTAAAAAAAAGCATGAAAATATAATTTAATAAAATCGACTTACCTGAGTTTTGGGATACTTGGTAATTTTAGGTGGTCTATCAGCAAAGCAGTTCAGCAACAGCATCAATATGACCAAGGGATAATAGACCAAATAAGTAATGTAGGAATAGTACGACTCAGGGTACTCCTTTGTACTGGCATTTCTGATTTCTGACCTGAATTGGATTGCTCCACATAGTCCCAAGAAGAACCAGAAGAGGAACAGCAAACCTGAGGTTCGCAGGCCATATTTTTTGTTGAAAAACAACAAGGCTGCAGAGAGTATCTGAAAGAAATAGTAAAAAGAGTTTGTAAAAAAACCTAAAGCATAGTCCACACCTAAAATTTTACCGTACGTTTAATTCTCCATCTATTAAAAAAATAATATACAGGGTGTTCCATTTAAAAAAGAAAGAAAATTTATTTTATATTTTAGAAAGTTTGGCGTAGAATTTTGAATCACCCTGTCTGATTTAAGATTACGATATTTACAGCAAAGTAATCACAGACCATCTGTAGTAAAAGCCTAATATAGTTTTGATTACAGGATAGTTCGTGTATTTTTGATAATTTTTTTTTTATGAAAGGCTTGAAAATATATATTTTTTTATTTATTCATTAATATCTCTTAATCTACGGAAATATATTTACTCATATCTCAAGATTATGTAAAGTGATCTGAAAGGAAGCCAAAAATGCAATAATATACAGGGTGTTCCTTTTAAAAAAATCGTCCTGATCCACTCACACTTGTAGAAGTTGATCACTTCAAATAAACCTAATATTTTAAAAAAATAAAAAATAAAACTAAAAATTCTGGAAAAATGGATTAAAATTAGCGGTTGTCAAAATTATGATTTAAAAAGTATACAGGGGGCTTTAAAATAACCAAGAAATAATTATTCACTCAATCTAACTGTTGTGCAATTTCATTATTACACAATATGTTAGGCTGTATTTTATTGATCTCCAATATCAAAGAGATTAAAAATGTATACCGTTCAAGGGTAGAATATTGACTTGAGCCAATAAACTGTTTCACTTAATTGATTGAATGGATCTCAGAGGAATAACATACCTACACAGGTATTTTGATATATCCCTGAGGATATTTACCTTCAAGAACAGTTGTTATTTTTTATCTGAAATTAAATATCTCTATTTAAAACACACATTAAATTATTCATGCTACCATCAATAATTAGATATAAATTACCTACTAATAAAATGAACGGTCGAGAAAATAAAATAAAAAATCAAGTGTTATAATACCGTACGATCGAAAAAAAAACAGCGTCAAAGACGGTTGAGGAATGAGAATTTATGATAAAAAAATTTGAAATATCATTTTTACTCAATATAGAAAATAATAATAATAAATTCTTAAGGCCAACTGGCAGTGAGCGCCATTGTAAAATAAAAAGTACGAGCCTAGTAATGGCGCCTAAGGCTTGACCCTGCCAAAATTATCATCGATTGTCACTCCCAGCCGTCTTCGACGCCGTTTTTTTTCGATCGTATTGCAGTAATAAATCGCCTTTTTAGGTGTAATCGAAGATTTGTTTATATTCTGTATTCTAAAAAAAATCTTTAAATATTTTTGAATACTTTTAGGTAAATTAATATACACGGTGTTCATTTTACACCCTGTGCTCATGAAAATGTTACAAATAACTATTACCTTACATTGACAAAGCTATAAAAATTCAAATTTTTTACATGAAAACACCCGTTTTCCTTCATTTTTTTTTCTTTAACTGTAGTCAAAAATAACGATAACTTTGTATAAAGATGTTTAACAATCGCCTCTACAATGTTGGCACATATTTATATACACCCTGTATAAAAAATATTCTTTTCTTTATATAAAAAAATATTTAAAATTATTGAACTAGACAGACAGAGATTATATAAACAGGAATTTCATATACTGCCCTCAGGATATTTACTATCAAGAGTATCCATTGTAATGTTTTTTATCTGAAATTAAATATCTCTATATAAACCCACATTGAGAACTATTAAGTGTAATTATAGGTAGTGCAAAAACAAATTATAATTGATTATTAATTTAAATAAACTATGCAGATATTTAAAACAGTAAGCAAATAATTGTTTATCATTACATTTTTCTCAAGTCTGATCAAATCTTCTGTTATAAATTTAAAGCTTTGTGTACACTTAACGGTTTACCTGTCAGTCAAAACGTATCTTAGTCTTGCAGAGTCCAGTCTTGGTCTTGCTGCAAGAGTGTTACAGGTCTTGTATTTTCTAGTATTTTTTTATATAGAGACATTTTCTACATAGAAAATCTTTAAATAAATAGTTGTTGATAGTAATTTATGAAGTTTTAAAATTTTAATTTTTACATAGTTTCACAATATAATGTAATAATACAAAATTGTTTGGTGATTAACAATACCAGGTATTTTCGCAATTAGTTTTGTGTGTTTACAAATGATCTATGTATATATGATAAACCAAAAATACAATTTTGTAGTAAAACTCCATAATTTTTTCTTCTCAACTTCAGTAAACACAATGCTATCAGCAGGTTAAACTTTCAGTGTGCTAGTCTTTAATCCATCTGGCCTGACAGGTAAAACCATAGAGTTAAAAATAAAAGCTTTATCAAACTTTTTTGAAACAAATAAATTATTGAAAAAATGTCCCTTTATAAATTCTCTTAAAAATAGGTAGGGTGTATATTGCAAATCCCTCGATAAATCCTAAATATTTTATGTTTGCTTTGTTCTATGTTGCAATGTTTGCATTGCATAATATTAACTTGATCTTAATTCAAACAAATTACAAAGTAAAAGAAAAAGTATACTTACGAATGAAAGTAATTTAAATATAGGTGTGTAGATATCAACACTGGGCACAAACTCTGTTTTTGAACTACTTAAACTTGTAACAAAATCACTCAACATCAATACACAAAGGATACCGGTAACCGCGAGCTTGGATACATTGAGCCAGTTCCAAGGAATGTCTTTCTTTTTACTGTTTGTTATGTAGTACACTTCCAGTCCAGAAAAAAGCCATAGAAAAAGACATGGTATCCAAACGAGGACGGTTTTCTCGAAACACGGTGTAAATCTCGGATCGTCCGTTTCCCAGGTCAGCGATAGGTTCTGTAAAATCGAATAAAAACAAAAATAATAGAGGACTCATCTCTGAAAGTTTGCATAATATTACAAAGTACAAAAACTAGTATTTTTCAACGGTTTTAATACATCCAAAAGGTGTCAGATGCGTTAATACCAATAAAACTAATAAATAAGCTAGATTTTATTGAATAACAAGGTAGAAATAAAGGTTTCTTACCCAAAATGTTGATCCGCAAAAGTCGTCCAGCACAGATCCTGCCATGTTTCCACACAACAGAATTCAGCAACAGACGAATTTGCACTGACTGGCCGGCGGCCATAGATAACCTTCCAAATGCCAACCAAAGAATTGCCAACTTTTATTTTTTTGTCCTTGACCGAATTTGACGTTTTTAAGGTACGGTTCACACGGTTTACCTTAAAATTTCCGGTGTCTAGTTGTACGGTAAACGGATAAATAAAATATGTTAATCCTCCGGTTATATCAAAAACAAAAAACTCCAAGAAGCCAAGAAGTACTAGGATAGACTAGGATTCTGATCAGAGATATAAAGCTAGGGAGAGTGAGTATGACCGTGTGCAGTTCGGAAAATTACATGTTACTCTTAAAAATTGCATTACATGTAGATAATTGACGTAGATGGTGTAATACTATCTGTAACTTTTAAATATCAAAGGTTTGAGGAAGGTGGCAAGATTTAGGTTATAATAAGTTGAAGCTTTAGAAAACAGAAGAGATATGGCTTTAAATATAACACTGACATACTGACATCAAATTATTTACACTCTTCAACAAATTCTTTATGCAAAAGAAAAATATTAACTGATCTGATGACCATCATAGTGAATCACGTAAATTACGTCTTAATTAATTACCTTTTAACTTTGAACCCTGGTTATGTTTATTCGATAAACGGACGATTAATTAATTTTATTCGTGCGTTTAGCGGACCACTAGCAACGCCTAAATTCGCAGCTGGATTGCAGGACACAGTGTGAATCATACTTAAAACAAGAACCACAGATTACAAACTTATATAAATGTCAGTTTGTCAGTTATGTCAACATGATGTTCCGTCATCCGTCATTTTGTTTTATTCAGCCGTCTGTGACAGCCGTTTTTGAGAGAAAATTTCTTAAATAAAACATATTAATCCAAAGAAAATTAAACATTTCTCTTCAGTAAAATGGATGTAGAACCAGAAAGTGATCGTCCGAACATCCGGATTCAAATCCAGAACAATATATCGAACGAATCAGTGGAAAAAATGGACGTAGACGAGGATTTGGAAGAGAACGAAGAAGGTGAAATTCTGGACGATAATGGACATGATATTTCCGAGATTCTTCCACCGACTAGCGAAAATAAGGTACGTTTTATTTAGTAAATATAATTATATACGTTAATAACAGTGTTTCTTTTTTATTTTCTAGATATCTACTGGAATCTTCACAACTGGCATAAACGTCTTCGATAAAAACGAAGAACTGAAGCTACAAGAACGTGCAAAACGTTTTGCATTAAAACCCGACGAAATACACAGCTTTACAGATGAAAATCTTCAAGAATTATACGATAGTTTAGGCATAAAACCAAGTAACGAGAAGGAAATAAAGTTTGAAAAAATACATCTCCTTGGCTTGGATGATATGGGTGCTGAAGATATACTTGACTATTTCGCGGGCTACGCTCCAGATGGTATCGAGTGGATTGACGGGAATTCTTGCAATCTAGTGTGGCTGGACAGTTTCTCAGCTGCTAGAGCTATGCATTTCAAATCTAAACCTGTTAGAGGCATGCCAGCGAGACAGGCTAAAGAGGTCTTTCCCAAAGAATTCCTTGATGATACAATTGAAGAAAGAGAAGAAGATGATCAAAGCATTCTTATAAAAAACCTAAACAGAGAGATAGAATTGCGTAACGAAATAGGTGAAGTAATTCTTCCAAAGAAAAAAGTGTTCCCTAAAAATTCTGTGGATATTTCTGAAATCTCAATACCAATTCCCCCAGGTTATTGGAGATTAGGCGTACCCCATCCCAAAACAAAATGTCTGTTGGTCAGGTTTGGACTCATAACTGACAAAATTCCATTTAAATCAGAAAAATGCAGCAAGTATTACAAGAAAACGGGCATTTCAGAGAATAAGAAAAAGGAATTGAGAAGCATATTTGAAAGAAATAAGGAACTGAATCAAAGTAAGAATCCCTGGGGCTCTCTTGCAAAAAATTGGGATAATGATGCTAAATTTAGGGAAAGAGAACCAACCATTTATAACTTATCAGATACAGAAGAGCCACAGATTGAGGTTAAAAATCCCAAATTATTAGCAAGATTGGGTACAAAAAGACAAGTTAATAGTGAAGAAATAGTTGAAGAACCTCAAAAACCGGAGAAAGAATTGGAAGTTGTTGAATCAAAAAAATGGCCAAAAGAACGAAAAAACAACAAAGTACCAAGAATGAAAATGTATGCAGATGAAGAAGAAGAAAACATGAAAAGAAAGAAAATCTTACAGAGGATTAAAAAACAAAGTGAAGTTATTGAAAAGAAATCTAGTGATAGAGATTTAAGGGACATGCTAGGCCCAACAAATAGATTAGTAATGAAGAAGGACCTTCCGATTATCGATAGAGTCGAGGATTTAGGCAGCAAACTAAGAAACAGAAACCAGAAGATGATTTATGCCATAGAACGTGATTTATTTGACCGTCCACCACCTCATATAGAGTTCTTAACCAGAAACTACTTTCCGGATGTCCGAGAACAGTTAAATAGCAGAACAAGGGCTCAGTTGCCTGAAAGGGACCGTTCACCTCTGGTTTCTGCTTCACACAGACTCTACCACGATACAAGAGACAGACATGAAGATAAAAGAAATCGTGAAAGACCGTCTCACAGGTCTAGCAGAAGACGTACACCGGAAAGGACCTTACATAGTGACCAAATTAAGTCAGAAACTTCCAGAATACGAAGAAGTAGAAGAAGTTATAGTCGTGAGGACAGAGTGTCACATAAACCCAAAAGTAAAGTGGCTGTGGTGATCAAAACTCAGAAGAAACCAACGGTTGCTTCAACAATATGGTCGAGAGTCAAACAATCTAGTGATAGTAATGAGAGTTCTTCTGAATCAGAGTCGGAAGAAGGATCAGACAATAGTAGCAGTAGTAGTGAGTCCGAGTCGGAATCAGAATCAGGGGATTCTTCATCAGATGCGTCTAGGAAGAGATCAAGGAACCCTGACCGTCCAGGCTTCGATAAAAGTAGGCTAAGTCAAAAGCTAGATCACAAAAGTCCGTTAAAAATCACCATGCCCAACGATCGTTACAGAAACAGAAAGTAAATTGTATTTATATAGGTTTGAATGAAACATTAGTTTAATTTGTATATTTCGAAATTTAAGTTGAACTATGTTAAGGACAAAATAATATAGTTTTTATAAACATAAATTTGTTTGTATAATAAAAATGTAATAAATTTTAATGTTGTGTAATTATTTCGTTCCAGAATCTCCCAATTTAGGTCTTAAAATAAAGACTAAAGACGTAGTTTTTGTTAAAAAAACTACACGTAGTTAAATTACGTAAAACTACTTTCGAACCTTAGCAACAGCCAGAGCTATATCTTTGGCTTGATTGCATCAGGAACTTTCATTTACTCACTCTGTGGTAAGTATATTTTACCCGAGCTGAGGCCACAACTGAGGCTGGGCAATTTGAGGTTATGAATTTTAATTCCAAACAGGAAGCGGTTGTTTTTTTGTTCATTTATTAAACATTCAGTTAATAAAATTGTAAGTTTACATTGTCTGTATGTAGATACAATAAATATTATCAGTGAAACAACCCTTAATTTGAAGAATATAGCAACAGTCCCCAAATCTATGGTAAAGAAAGATTTATTTCCATCACCAACACAATGTTTGCAAAAGAGACTGATAATTTTATGGTAAATTACTATTTTTTGAGCTAATTCTTAACTTATTTACGTAATTTTGTATATTATTCTCAGGTGGCCGTTCAGCATGCATTAAACCAACCAATTCGAACAAGATGTGCAGAACTTGCAGTTCTTTTAGACCGAGCTACATTACTTGAACTTCACAATTTCTTCCCCATTCTTATAGACAATATATTCGGCCCACAAGGCACGATATCGTGGGGCCTTCGCACCAGCACTGAAGAAAACAGGGAAGACTTGAGAGAATTGCATCATTTCCTGTCTCCTTGTGGGCCCCTTTTTAGGTTAATTTATATTTTATTGAGAGATCCAAATATTAAATATGAATTCTCTTTGACTTATTTACCTGTAAGTATTTACTTATTACTGTTATTAAGGTTATTTAATGATGAAATTCTTGTTTGTTTTTAGACCAAAATAAGGCAACTTCTAGAACATTCTTCGGGTAATCCGTTTTACTCAGAATTAGTAAATCTAAATCCCCAAAGTAAACAGATAACATCATTATTATTGAGTAAGTTTCTTTAATTATATGTTTTGGAATAAAATTAATAAATATTTTTTTTTATATTTTTCAGACCCTTTTGACTATTATTTCTTTCATTTTGCCTATCATTTAGTCAATCCTTGGCAGCAAAGATCAGGTTCTTTAGTTACTTCATGGAATACTGTTTATTATGTGTTGTGCTGTGACTATATTTTACATTTTCTACCCACTGATCCAAATGTAAAAATTTTGCCAGACATTTACTATAACGGAAAGAACCCTAATAAACATATTTCACCCCCATCAAGTTCACAGTAAGTAAATATTGTTGATTATTGTACTAGCTAAATGATTAGAATTTTTATTTTATATTTTATTTGACATATTTTCAGTAATTCACCAAGAGGCTTTAGCTCAAAAGGCTTAGTCAGTCCTATTGTGTTCAGCAAAACTGTAGATGACAATAACACAGTGAATCTTGACAGATACCATCCAAGAAACGAAATATGGCGCAGCGAGACTGTGCTGACAGTTTTCACTGACATGTGGCTGTGCAATGACTCGGTCAGTCAAACTGTCAGCAATAATGAACTGAATGATTCCTTCAACAAACCCATTTCAATGAGACTGTACTATAATGAGCTTCCCACAGGAGAATACATGAGAATTGTCAGAGTTTTAATAAAACAGCTTCACGCATTTTCTGACAGTTCAAAATGTGATGACACCAATATGTCTGAGTTAAAGAAAATTTCTGTACCAATGATACAAGGGAAGTTTTATGCTTTTTTGAGGAATTTAATACACAGATGGCCTTTGGATGGGTCATTTAGGCTAGTTTTGGAGTTGTGGTTGACTTATATACAGCCTTGGAGGTATCCGGCTACAAATTTAGTTAAAAAAATGTAAGTAATTTTTTGAATATTTCTTTGCTATTTTGCTATTTTTATTTAGTTTTTTTAATTAATTTTTGGTGTATTTCCTTTTATTATTTTTTGTGTTATTTTTTAGTATTTATTTTTATTAATTTTCTTTTATATTTTTTTGTGTTAATTTTTATTACTTTGTATAAGTTAACTTTTAATTTATTATAACTCTTACAGAAATTGTATAGAATTAAACTAGTTTCTGTCTTTTTATTATTTTTTAGTGTTTATTTTGATTAATTTTCTTTTATATACTTTTTTGTTGTTTTTTCATATTTATTTTTAATAATTTTCTTTTATATTTTTTTTGTTAGTCTTTATTATTTCATATAAGTTGACTTTTAATTTATTATAACTTTTACAGAAATTGGATAGAATTAAATTAGTTTCTGTCTTTTTATTATTTTTTAGTGTTTATTTTTATTCATTTTCTTTTATATATTTTTTTTGTTCTTTTTTAATATTTATTTTTATTAATTTTCTTTTATATTTTTTTTGTTAGTCTTTATTATTTCATATAAGTTGACTTTTAATTTATTATAACTTTTACAGAAATTGGATAGAATTAAATTAGTTTCTGTCTTTTTATTATTTTTTAATGTTTATTTTTATTCATTTTCTTTTATATATATATATATATATATATATATTTTTTTTTTCTTTTTTAATATTTATTTTTATTAATTTTCTTCTATATTCTTTGTGCTATTAATTTTTATTATTTCTCACAATTTAACCTTTTATTAATTATATTTTTTACAGAAATGTCACAGAATTGAATCAAGATGCTGAAGATGTAGCATTTAATTCTGATAAACAAAATTTGCACCCAACGAGAGATCACCTACAATTTATTGCTGAAAATTTATTATGTTATGTGGTCATTTTTGAGCAACTCCTTCCCAGGTTTGGAAGGGTGGACTTAGTAAGTCCTAAAATGTCCTTGATGCTTTATAGAATAACTAAGGTAAGTCTTTAGTCATGTAGAATAGTCTTAGGAGATAATATCTCTCACTGGACAGACTATAGTATACTGTAATTTTTACTGCTTGTGTTCTAGGTATTTGATCAACCAAATTTGCCACAATTTTTGAAAGAAATTGAACAGTGCGTTGAGAATCGGCAACCGTCACCCACTCATCAGAAATATGCTGGTTTCCAGTCGGTTTTACCTTCTTTGTCCATAAACAACAACTGGTCCACAACTTTACCAGCTTCCCCTATACCTCATCATGCTGGTAAGATAACGAATTATAATATAGTTCTTCTCGTGTAATTTCTCCGTTTTTTTACTTTTATTTTTTTATTTAATTGTTACTAAGAATGGTATAATGGTTATTACCAGTTTTATTTGTATTTACAATATTTTTTTTCTTTAAATTAACAGCTAGGAATGGTAACGTATCCTTTTTAAGTAGTACGGTAGCGCCGGTAGACAAGAAATGGTCAGCCATAACCAAACAGAGAATTTTTGACTTGGAAGGACCCAGTTTTTGTTATAAGCCTCTATTTTCAAACCCACCAGCGCAAGAAGTACGTTTATAGACCTAGAATATTCTGTCTAGCGAAAGAATACCTATATTACATTGACTATTATTTTTGTAATCATTGAGAAATTATTTCAGAGACTACCATGACGCTTTTTTTCTTTGTTTGCGTCTTAATATATTATTTTGCTGGATAGAATATGTAAGCTGTTTCTTTCTAAAAATATTTTGATAATGTTTCGGTTTTAGATATATGAACTGTTGTCACAAATCAAAAAATCTCAGAGATTAGCTTATGATCTGATCAGGATGAAAGAACAGGAAGAAAAAGAACTTTATTCGGGATTTTGGGGATCGATAAAGTACTTTTTGCAATCTCCTGCATCAAATGATGAATTTAGTCTGGATGACAGGAAAAAAGTGCCGATTTATTTAGAGGTGGCTTTGGGAAACTTGAAAGACATGTTTGATATCACTGAAGAGGTAATGTACTGCTTTTGGGTCATTTTTTGTAGAATTTTTTCCACACAGAAAATTAATATATATAGACAAACCTTACAAGACTTGTAAGGTTTATGTAAGCTTTTTTGTAAGCTTTATGTAAGGTTTGTAATACAAGTACAAAATGATGGTACCTGTTAACAGAAATATGGTAGATTATGTATTAAATAAGTTTATTAAGGAAGATATATGATTATTATACAGGGTGTTCCAGAAATAAGTGCAGGTATTTTAACTGGTAGTATAGACCCTGAAATGTGCTTCTTTTGGCCAGTTTAACCACCCCTTTTGAAGGGGTGAAACTTTCTGGAATATAAAATGATTTTTCTTTATTGTTTTAAATAGAACGCCCTGTACATTATTTTTTGTAGTGTGGCTTTTTTGTTGTGGCTTTGATAAAAATTTATTGTAATAAAGTATCATTTGTTTTTTTTTCAGTAAATTAATGAGGGTATTTTTGTTAATAATTAATTTTATAGATATTTGAGGACGAACCTGATACAATAAAGACAGCCAACGGTAACGGTTTCGAGATGTCACACGATTTCAAATTTTTAACGCCCGAAAAAGTGAGAAGCAGAGTTAAAACTATTAAATACGAAGGGGATCCAGACTTAATACCCATTCGTAGTGACGAAAATAAATTTTTAGTTAGGACATTGTATCAAATTTCACTACAAATCAACGAAAATGTAAGTAGACTTTTTTTTAATTTATAACAATTAATACAAAAAAAATATTATTGAGTTCTTCAAAGAAGTTTATGTAGAGTTATTTGACCTAAAGCCTTACAAGTTGATATTTTAATGAATATTTTCTGTATTAAAAAATAAAAATGCTAAAGTATCATTTTATCGGTTCAGATAAAACATATCAGGTAAAACATTGTGTGCAGACGTAAAAACGGACGTTTTACGCGAAGTGAATCATATATAATTTATATGTACATGTATGCTGTTTTTATATGAAGATTATATACATATAAATTATATATGATAGCATATTTCATTTATATCTAGATATTTTATACAGGATACTATTATTTCTAATAGATTTCAAGTTATCGATATTTGAATTCATAGTTCTAATAGCACAACCACTATCGAACACCCACTCAATTCCATTTATTTTTACCAAAAATGCAAGTGTTTCTAGCTTGCACTTAAAAAAATTCAAGCTACAGGGAAAATTACAACGACTCGTTAATAAAATAAACAAATTAAGTATCACGGGACGTAATTAAATCGTGAAGCTGAACGCATGACGTACACCTTTCCCTAGAACTTTAAGTACTGACAGAGGTATTGATTGGGTCGACCGGTCAACTGCGACAAATCTGCTCTATCCCCTTCCACGTCTCTTAGCGATGTGCACAGTTTCTCGGTTTATTTTATATGTTTGGCAACGTGTTTACTGTCCTCTCTTTGTTCAGTACATTATAAACGCATTGTACTCTTCTTACATACGGAAATCTCGACCCAAGACTAACCTTTGCCAGCCCTTAGTATGGTCATATATAAAAATATATATAAATTTTATATGATATCGTATTTATTACTATTAAAATCAAAAAGGTTGTAGTAATTTTGTCTAGTGAAAGAGGAAGCGATCGACAATATAATTGAATTCATCAATCAATCCCGATTTATGTCATATGGTAAAATATCAAACCTCGTTTTTTTATCTGAAAAAAATAAAAGTTAAAGAGGCGATACACTTTTGAAAAACACCCGGTATATTATGTGTATTTTTGTTTTAGTTTGGAGATAGATTTTACCAACTTTACCACAGCCCATCCTACTGGGGCCGTTTTTGGAGACAGATCCTTTGTCCTCCCATTACCGTGCACAAATACGACAAATCCATAATGGGCTCTCCCAGGGTCGGTGTCAATTTACCACCTAGAATAAGCCTAAGACCGTGGGCCAGTTACAGATTCCTAGGTTACCTGCTATTCGGTGGAATCGTAGCATTGCTGTTTGGATACAGAATAGACACCTATTTGGCGTTTTTATGCAGTATTTATTTGTTATACAAATTGATGAAGGCTGTGCCTTGTGGAAGTTCACCAATGAGACATAGTTATCCCACTGAAGGATTTGGCAACATCAGTTTCAACGATTCGTTTTGATCTGATACGGTTTCGTATTATTATTATTTATTTATAAGAGTAATTTATTTTTTATTGTGGCTAATTGTAATTTTATAAGAATAAATTGTTTTTTATTGACATGAGATTTTTTTTAACGTAAAATAAATAATTTATTATACCGATTTGGTCATTTTAGAATTATTATACCGATTTGGTCATTTGTGATCTGGGGTCTGGATTTTAACGTGTAAACAGAGCGTGTAAAGCTTGATTTTCATGCATCCGTTATACGTTGATACCTTCCCGAGATTGTTCCCGAGTGACAGTTATGAAGTATGCAACTAGTTAAACTAGTATGTTTTATGACGTTTTATTTAATTTAAATCAGATTTAATTCAAATTCGTTTTTAAATTAATTATCATCTTTGTACGAACTTTAAATATATTCGCAAACTATATCAACAATTAATATAACGCATTTATATTAAATTAACAATATTAAAATAAATTTAAAGAGTTTCGCATCAAAGAGCCCTAATTTTAACCTTTCGAATTTGTCAAATGATCTTAGACAGTTATTTTAAATTAATGAAAAATTCCAATCATGTCTCCCGAAGCAAATAAGAAAAATACAAATAAAAACGCTGATCTAAACAGCGAAATCCTGAAGCAAGCGTTAAATTTATCCGAAGTTGCGATGGATCTTAGAGATCACTACATCGCTGGTGAAAAATGCATTAATTTTTTCAAATCGATGATTAACGGTAAGTTAGTTAAAGAACTATTTAAAAATATGAAAGTGTATGTATTTTAGGAGCAGAAAAAGCGTTAAATGCTATTGAAATCACATCAAAATCATCCTTTAACTTAGCCAACAAGTTAGTGGAAAATAACATTAATGTTCCTGAATTATCAGAGGAATTAAAGCTTGAATATGATCAATTACAAGGTTAAACATAATAATTCTGTTATTTACTCTAAATAAACATAATTTTAGGACTTATAAATAAACATTTAAGTGATTTTAACATGGAAGAACATACAAGCGATAAAAATAAGTATCTAGAAGCTAAAAGAAGAAATTCTGAGAATGTTTTACACGGAAATTCCAGTAGTACTAAATCTCTTAAGGTAAAATATCGTATTTCATGCATTATTTTTGCACAAAGAAGTATTTTTAAATATACAGAACGACGTTGATGAAAAGTACCCAGAAAATCTGTCAAAAGAGTCTCTAATAGACCTGAACAATGTGGTAAATCTTCCTCCTGTGCCTGAAGATATTTTTACCAGTTTTTCCAATAACAAACCCACCAGAACTTCAAGTCTTTCTTCATTAAAAAATATGAGAAAAATCAAAATGTTTCTTCAAAAAGCTGAATCTGATGAAGAAGATAGTTCAGATAACGATGAACACGACTATACAAAGATGGTTTACGTAAATAATTTAATTGTTTCTTATTTTTTGTTAAAAAAAATAAATTTAAATATTTTCTTTGTTATGCAACCAGTTATTCAGACCAGGTATATATCTGGTTGCATAACAACACCACCTTTTTAAAATTTTCTTGATATACAGGGTGATAACGATGAGAGTAGGACAGCAAGTTTTCATACACCTTCCACGAGAAAATTGCATTTGGGATATATTAAGGAAGAATCTCAAGATTAACAATAACGTACTTTGAACTAATAAAATTATGTTTTGTGAATGTTGCAGTCAGTTTTATTTATTCATAAAATTATTATATTGATTAATTTATAAAAAAAAATAAAAACTCGAGATTCTTGTAAAGTAAACGAAAATTTAATACATTTTGAGTATAATACTGCTAAAAATAAGAGTTGTAAAATAATATATTATAGTCTTGTTAGAATTTTATTATTCTAAAACCATTTTAAGGGTTGACGATCGTGTAATAAGATGAGTTTTGTTAACTGTCCAACTTGGGGAAATAGCTATAAATCTCTGAGTCAATTGAAAGATAATAAAAAGTTATATAGAGTTTGGTTTATTGGCGATTTTATTGCCTTCCTTTTACAATTATGTCGACAAGTTAATAAACGATAAAACTACTACGCTGTTCAGTATTCCTTTTGAAATTGATTCGTTTGTAAAACGATTTTAATATTAATTTTACTTGAATAAGGCCAATTTGGTTGTATTATATACAGGGGAACTTAAAGACCGTAAAATTCAGCAAATGTATTATTGGTTTATTCCTCTAAAAATTGACTAGGGTTTCCGAAATCGAAGCTGTTTTTCGGAACCGGGATTTCCGTTTTTTTTTGGTACCTACTGACTAATTTTTGTTTAATGGTGGTGCAGTTCATCAATCAGAAAGCAAGGAATGGTTTTTCAAAGTAAAATGGATAAAAAATTGAGATTTTTAATGAAAATAATATCAAATTATTAAGTAATCAGTCATGAAAATATTAACATGAACACAAGTAAAGAAAAAAGTAAACAACATAAACCAACTTAACTGAATTTGAGACAAAAGCCCTACAATATTGACTAAAAGTGCAAAAATCTATTAAAACTTAACATAATAAATATTATAGGAACTTCAAAAGAGAAAAGAAGCAGGAACAATAAGAAATAGCATCATTAATATTTAGAAGAGTTTGATTTCGACGGCTAGAAAGTATCAAAAGTCTTTCGCACGTAACAAAAAATATGTTTTTAATTATTATTACCGAGTCCCGAAAGTAAAAAAAACGGGAAATAATAATTTCGGGTCCCGGTTCTATGATGTCTCAAAAGAACCGGGAATTCCCGGTACTTTCGGTATTTTTTTACGATTTTTTACTTTATTTAAGTATATCTTAGCTTAAGAAAAAATCTTATTAAAGAAAGTGTTTGGTGTCTTTATTTACTATGTTAAAAGTTGATACTTTCTTCTTAAAAATGCTTTAACTAAGTCTAAGACCTGTAACACCCTTAACCCGAGTAAAAAAACACGTAAAAATAAACAAGAAACGCGAGTAACTTTCAAAAGTTTATCACTTCTACGAGATATCCGGTGAATTTAAGACCCAATTAGCCTTTTCTCGCCATTCCTGCCATAATTTTGACATGATTATCCTGCGCATATCGTGTAGGAATCGCGCAACTGTGTATAGAGTATCAGCAGGATACAGGAATCGCACTGGACACCGCAGAAACCGTTGATTCTTTGAGTCAGTAAAAAGCGCGAGTTTTTAGAGCAAGCTCACGCTCATTTCAGTGACTAAAAGTGTTTTAGAGAATCACTTTTACAACTAAACTGTAAAGAAAAAAGAAAAAAATATTTTTGTGTTTTTTTTTGTGGAGACTTTTTAATATTTTGAAAGACTTTTAAGTTTGAAAAAAAAGAGATTTTTTGGTGTACGTTATTTTATAATGTAGTGCAACACTTGTTGAACATGGTAAGTTTATTTCGATGAAATAAATTAGTAAATTTTACTACTTTAAGAATGATATTCAATGATCGATCAGAATGTCTGTAACACTTATAAAGCGAAACAGAAAAAACAAAAATTCAATTAAACACTAATAAAGTTTTTAAACTTATGTGAAAGAGAAAAAACACCAAGGCACCAAGGGTTCCGTAGAAATTTATAGGTACATATTATGTTCCTTTGAATGAATTGAATGTAATGATTTAAGTCTATTTCAAGTCAAGTCATTTTTGTAAAGTCAATATAACGTTATTTAAATCGTTTTTATGACTTAAGTCTATATTTTTGACTTAAATCGTAATGATCAACTTAAATCGTCAAGACAACCAGAATTCTATTTAAGTACCTTTTTTTTAAATGCTATTATTAATTTTCTTGTATTACCAATTAGCAATTTTCTTACTAAGTATCACGTTATTAATTTATTTTATATGTACAGGGTGGGTCAAATTCGACGCTTTTAAATGGAGATAGACGAAAACTAATATCGGTGTCCGGAGCTCAAATTTTATCAAAAATATAATGGTGAAAACCGCACATCAATATCTGTTACCGTTTCGGAGTTACGAGGTGTTTTTCAAAAATGCGCATTTTTAACAAATTGCTGTAACTTTTTTGCTATGGAAAATTTTGTATTTCTATGAAAACATTTCCAAAGCACCTTTTTACGTAGAATTTAATGGTTTAAGTATAATTTTTTTAAAATTAATAATTTAAGAATTATCAACAGAAAAACTGATTTTTTATTTGGGACACCCTCTATATTTTTAATTAACTGAAAAGAATTTAAAATTACCTTTCCAAAAATATAGCACACTTGATATTTTGTTATAATCCTCTTTGAAATACAGAATTTTTAAAAGTTCGCCACTTTTAACTAGTAGGCTTTGGACCCCTTATTGATGATATACCTCTAATGGAACTAGAAAACATATCTTTCCAGCAAGACGACGCACTGGCTCTGAACGCTGAAGTTATTAGTAAATTTTTGCAGCCAATTTCAAGAATATTTGAATAGCTAACCAAGATCCCAGCCGTTGGCCGTCGAGGCCGCCTGACTTAGTGCCCATGGATCTAATCCTATTGATATATTTGCGAAAGAATAAAGGTTCCATATTCTTCCGTATAATCTAGACAGGAATTAGAAATACTTAGCAGTTATGAGAGGGTATCTTTCACCACTACTGAGTTAATGAATTCCGCGAGAAATGTTCAAAAACTGCCCCGTCTGTCCATAACAGAAGACGGTTGATATGTTGAACACCTATAGCAAAATCTCATGTCTTGGTTTGCTATTTATTTTTATTGTTATTAATATAGTTTAAATGTGTTGATGTTGGTTAAATATATTTTAAATAATTTTTAAGTAATTTTAAATTCTTTTCAATAAATTAAAAATATACAGGGTGTCCCATATAAAAAATCAAATTTTTTGTTGATAATTCTTAAAATATTAATTTTAGAAAAATTATACTTAAACCATTAAATTCTACGTAAAAAGGTGCTTTGGAAATGTTTTTTCAAAGTTAAACAACTCGGTAATTTTCAATTTATTTTAAAAATACTAAATTGAAAACATATATGTTTCTTTCCAACCCTTAAAATACTTACTCATATTTACGAGACCACCCTGAGACCACCCTGTACCACCTGATTACCTATACAATAAAACAACATACAGGGTGGCCCATCGAAAACGTTCCGCAAGGCATAACTGCCAGGGTAATTTTTTTCAGAAAATTCAAAAACACGTCAATTTTGTTTGTGAGGGGGACAACTTTTGCCCCAAAAATTATTGCAAAATCTTCAACCCTCTAAGCGGGGGTGTCATCCCCCGATATTTTTCAAATGGGAAGGGGGGTCGAGTGGTACCGCAATGAAAAGGGCTTTCTATTCTCTATACTTTCCTGCTTCGTTTTTGAAGATCGGTCGAGTCGTTGGGAAAATATGAAGGATTGAAATTTGAAAAGTTTTTTAAACATTTATCAGAGTAAATGATAAGAATAAATTCCTTCGACCAATTTGCTGTTTTTCTTATTATTTCTAGATGTTTGCAATCGGGTTGCGCAGATATTCAATGAACGCCATCCTGACAAACACCTTTATGGCAAAATTGTTCGCCAGTTAGTAGCAAAATTTCGCGAATCTGGTTCCGTTATGAATAAAAAGAGGCAGAGGGAATCCTGTAGAATCCTGTAGTAAATGAAGCTATGGAGGTATTCGTATTGGGCCAAGTTGTCATGGACATTATTCTAAGTACAAGAAAATTAGCCAATGAGACCGGCGGGAATTGTACAAGTTTCCAAAGGATATTAAAAAAACACAAGTTCCACCCGTACAAAATTCAGTTCATACAGGAACTCAACGAAGACTATTTTGATCGTTGCTTGCAATTTTGTGAAACTATGAGTTAAAGAGTGGCGAATGATAATAATTTCCTATCTAATGTGTGTTTTTCGGATGAATGTACAGGGTGGGTCAAATTCGACGCTTTTAAATGGAAACACCCTTTTCTATAAGAGATAGACAAAAACTAATATCGGTGTCTGGAGCCCAATTTTTGTCAAAAACATAATGGTGAAAACCGCATATCGATATCTGTTACCGTTTCGGACTTACGGGGTGTTTTTCAAAAATATGCATTTTTAACAAATCGCTGTAACTTTTTTGCTATGGAAAATTTTATATTTTTATGAAAACATTTCCAAAGCACCTTTTACATAGAATTTAAGTATAATTTTTTAAAATTAATAATTTAAGAATTAACAGAAAATTTGATTTTTTATACGGGACACCCTGTATATTTTTAATTTATTGAAAAGAATTTAAAATTGCCTTCCAAAATATAACACACTTGATATTTTGCTCGATTCCTCTTCGAGATATAGAGTATATAAAAATTCGCCCGCTTTAAATAAGTAGGCTTTGAACGGCACCGGCTGTAATGCAAAAAAAATCTAGCTGTGAGCATCAATTAAAACGAAAATAATATTTGCTATGAGAGATGCAGAATTTTATAACAATTCAAAATATATTTAAGCAACATCAACACATTTAAACTGTATCTAATAACAATAAAAATAAATAGCAAACCAAGACATGAGATTTTGCTACAGGTGTTCGACATATCGACCGTCTTGTGTTATGGACAGACAGGGCAGTTTTTGGACATTTCTCGCGGAATTCATTAACTCAGTGAGGGTGAAAGATACCCTCTCATAACTGCTAATTATTTCTAATCCTTGTCTAGATTATACGGAAAAATAAGGAACCTTTATTCTTCCGCAAATATATCCATAGGATTAGATCCATGGGCACCAAGTCAGGCGGCCTCGACGGCCAACGGCTGGGATCTTGCATGGTTTAGCTATTCAATTATTCTTGAAATTGGCTGCAAAAATTTGCTGATAACTTCAGCGTTTAGAGGCGGTGCGTCGTCTTGCTGGAAAAATATGTTTTCCAAAGCCTACTAGTTAAAAGTGGCAAACTTTTAAAAATTCTGTATTTCGAAGGGGATTATGACAAAATATCAAGTGTGCTATATTTTTGGAAAGGTAATTTTAAATTCTTTTCAGTTAATTAAAAATATAGAGGGTGTCCCAAATAAAAAATCAATTTTTCTGTTGGACAACTCTTAAATTATTAATTTTAAAAACAGATACTTAAACCATTAAATTCTACGTAAGAAGTTGCTTTGGAACTGTTTTCATAGAAATACAAAATTTTCCATAGTAAAAAAGTTACAGCGAATTGTTAAAAATGCCATTTTTGAAAAATACAGTTGTAACTCTGAAACAGTAACAATATTGATGTGCGGTTTTAAATCATCATGTTTTTAGATGAAAATTGAGCTCTTTTTCCGTTATTGTTTTGTCTATCTCCTATAGAAAAGGGTGTTTCCATTTAAAAGCTTCGAATTTGACCCACCCTGTACTTTCTTTTTGAACGGTGTAGTTAATCGGCACAACTGTGGGTACTGGGCTGAGGACAACCCCCAGGGTTTTTCACGAGGTGCACACACAAAACCCTCAGAAATTGAACGTGTGGGCTGGTATTTTTGGAAATTCTATTGTGGGTCAGTTTAACGATATTGAGAAGAACTTCAACGTACAAGTCACAGAACAGCTATCTAGCAACTACCGCACCTGGGGTGCAACTTTGTTCATGTTTCAAAGCGATAGCAAAGTAATTTGTAGCTTGATGCACTATGTTCAGTAGCAACATCGATTCGTAGCGATATTCTGATTTCTCGCTTTGTGGCGAGACGACAGTCTAGACACGTGTGCGTGTGCAAGAGTGTGATAGTGATACCATATTCCGCAGCATTTGAGCGACAATAGTTTTGCAATGAACATAGTACCGATCTGGTTTCGACATCGCTTCTAATCGATCGGTTGCTAACTTGAACAAAGTTGCACCCCTGATCGTTCAACGTTGTGGCAAGGGTAAAAATGCGTAAACATCTAGAAATAATAAGAAAAAACAGCAAATTGGTCGAATTTATCCTTAATAATCATTATTTACTCTGATAAATGCTTAAATAAACTTTTCAAATTTCAATCTTTCATATTTTCTCAATGACTCGACCGATTTTCAAAAACGAAGCGGGGAAATATAGAAAATAGAAAGCCCTTTTCATTGCGGCGCCACTCGACTCCCCTTCCCATTTGAAAAAAGTTGGGGGATGACACCCCCGCTTAGAGAGTAGAATATTTTGCAATCATTTTTGCGTCAAAAGTTGTCCCCATCACAAACAAAATTGACGTGTTTTTGGATTTTTTGAAACAAAATATATCCTGGCCGTTATGCCTTGCGGAACGTTTTCGATGGGCCACCCTGTATATCTATTTGAAGCTATGCGAATATGCTTCATCTTCCAAAAATGGGAATTATAATTAATTTTGTGGCTGTGATAAAATTTCCAAAAAATTAGAAAATTGTCAATTATAGACCATATCGTATACAGG